CATCCCAAGAATAAAGCCTACTTGATTGAGTGGATTAGCTTTTGATGTGCTGATGGATTCAGTATGCTAGTATTTTGTTGAGGATTTTGCATCTATGTTCATCAGAGATATTGGTCTGAAGTTTTCTTTTTACATTGTAGCTCTGCCATGTTTTGGCATCAGAATGATGCTGGCCTTATAGAATGAGTAAGGAAGGAATCTCTCCTTCTCAGTGTTTTGGAATAGTTTCAGTATGATTGGGACCCACTCTCCTTATATGTCTGGTAGACTTTGGCTGTGAAGCCCTCTGATGGATTTTTCTGGTTTGTAGGCTTTTTATTAGTGATTCAATCTTGGAACTTGTTATTGGTCTACTCAGGGTTTTCATTTCTTCTTAGTTCAATCTTTGGAGGTTATGTATTTCCAGGAATTTAGCCATTTCTTCTAGGTTTTCTAGTTTGTGTGCATAGAGGTGTTCGTAATAGTCTCTGAGAGTTTTTGCATTTCTCCAGGTCAGTGGTAATATCTCCTTTGTCATTTCTGATTATGTCTATTTGGATCTTCTCCACCTTTTTATTAGTCTAGCCTGTGGTCTATTAAACTTATTTGTTCTTTCAAATAACCAACTTATGTCTTTGTTGATCTTTTGTATGGGTTTTTGTGTCTCAATTTCATTCAGTTCATCTCTGATTTGGTTATTTCTTGTCTTCTGCTAGATTTCAGGTTGGTTTGCTCTTGTTTTTCTGATTCTTCTACATATGATATTAAGTTAATTTGAGATCTTTCTAGCTTTTTGAAGTGGGCATTTACCACTGTAAACTTTCCTCTTAGCACTGTTTTAGCTGTGTTTCATCAATTCTGGTATGTTGTATCTTTTTTTTCATTTGTTTCAAAGAATTTCTTGATTTCTGCCTTAATTTATTTGTTGACTCAAAAAGTCATTGAGGAGCAGGTCGCTTAATTTCCATGTAATTGTGTGGTTTTGAGAAATGTTCTTAGTATTGATTTCTGTTTTTTGCTGAGATTTTCTACTTCTCTGGTAAGCGTCTCAATTTTTCCATTTGTTTTAAGCATGCTCATTAGAGTATATTTATGATTGTTGCTTTAAAATTCTTGATAATGCTAATATTTCTTTCATCTCAGTGTTGGAATCTATTTATTTTCTCATTCAGTTTGAGACCTTTCTGGTTCTTGATGAGTGATTTTCACTTAAAGCCCAGACATTTTGAGTACTATGTTATGAGACTGGATTTTATTTAAACCTGCTATTTTAACTGGATATCTCTGGCACCACTCCAGCAAAGGAAGGGATAAAGGGAGAGGGCACCATCCTGTTGCTTTCAGGATCACCTGAGGTCAGGAATTCGAGACCAGCCAGGCCAACATAGTGAAACCCCATCTCTATTAAAAATACAAAAATTAGCGAGGCGTGGTGGCAGGCACCTGTAATCCCAGCTACTTGGGAGGCTGAGGCAGGAGAATTGGCTTGAACCGAGGAGGAGGAGGTTGCAGTGAGCCAAGATCATGCCACTGCACTCCAGCCTGGGTGACAAAAGCGAGACTCCATCTCAAAAAAAAACCAAAAAAAAACAAAAAAACAAAGTCTAGGGAGGGTGGAAGTTTAGCTTCCCCACTTGGTCTTTGTTTATTGATAAGGGTGAAACCACATTTTTTTTTTCCCTCTGGCAATTAGTTGGAGCGGAGAGGTGATAAATCTAAAGGTTTTCTGTATTTCTAGGCTGCCCTTTTCTGGTCTTTTGACTTTCTTGGTACTTTTGTGTATTTTTCTTAGTCTGTTTTCTATTTGAACAAAATAGCTAAGACTGGGTAATTTGTATAGAATAGAAATTTATATCTCACAATTTCTGGAGTCCAAGAATTCTGGAGTCCAAGGAAGTTGAAGGCTGCTCTCTGCTTCCAAGATGGTGCCTTGATGTTGTATCTTCTGAAGGCGAGAAACACTGTGCCCTCACATGGCAGACAGTAGGAAAGCAAGAGAGCTTTAATCTCATTTATGAGGGAGGAGTCCTTATGGTGTAGTCACCTCTTACAGGTCCCATCTCTTAATATTATCACATTGGCCATTAAGTTTCAACACCTGAATTTTGGAGGAGACACATTTAAACCATAGCAGTGCCCATTGGCATATCTGGATTGCCAGTCTCTTTAACTCCAAATCTGAGAAAATGAGGCACAGAGAGAGCCCATGGAACTCATAACCATGTTGTTCTTTGGGTCTCAAGTCTGTCTTCTCTCTACTTTTCAGAGTCTTCTTATGTTTGATTTGTATATAACTCAAAGGGTTTTCAGTTGTACTTGAAGGGAGTAATCAGGAAAAGTATATCCACTTCATCTTCCCAATAGCAAACATTTGTATTACTTAAATATTTATATATTGTATTTTCATTCAGTTCAAATTATTTTCTAACTTCTTATGTGATTTCTTCTTTGATCTGCTAGCAATTTATAATTGTGTTATTATAGACACAGGGAGGGGAATAATTAACTCACTGGGGCTTGTAAGGGCAGGGCAGGGCAGAGCAAGGCAGGGGAAAGCATCAGGGAAAAGAGCAAATGCATGCTGGGCTTAATACTTAGTTGATGGGTCAATAGGTGAAGCAAACTACCATGGCACATGTTTACCTATGTAACAAACCTGCACATCCTGCACATGTACCCCTAAACATAAAATTAATATTTTTTTAAAACCTTCTAGAAACATACACACACAAATAACAAAATAAATAAAGTTGTGTTGCTTAATTTCCAGGTACTTGGAAAGTTTTTCAGATTTCTTTCTGTTTTTCATTTCTGTTTTTAATGTAATTCCTATTAGTAACAGTTGTATAATATAGACCTGCCTAAGATTAAAGCAACAGTTTTCTGCACCAACTTTCTCTGCATCCCTGCTTACCCTTTAGAGACACTCTTCTGTTTTTATTTACTTTCATGGCTATCTTCATAACTAATGTAAATGCAAAACCTGAAATGCCAGATATAGGTGATGGGGAGGAAGGCAGCAAATCACACTGCCACGTGTGTACCTATGCAACAATCTTGCATGTTCTTCACATGTATCCCAAAACCTAAAATGCAATAAAATAAATTTAAAAAACAATAAAAAAAAAACAAAAAAAAAAACCTATTTCCTGTATCTTCAGTTTCAGTTAATGTTGATTTACTCTCTATATAAAATGAGGGTGTAGCTTATTATACTAGCCCCATTCCTCTCAGTGTTTGATAATTAGTATTTTAATTTTTTTGGGTTATATCAGACTCTTTATATAGCAAAATTCTCTATTTCCTGTTACATTAATTTCTAACAGTGTGGCCTCAGAGACAACAATTTTTTTTTTTTTACTTATTCAACAATATTGAATAATTAGCACAGTTTTCCATTTCTTTTTCAACATTATGAAAAATGTTAAAAGTAATTATAATGTAGTTCAGTTGTTTTCAAAACTTGGTAGTATTATGAAGAACAGGAGTTGTTCCTGATCTTTTCACATCACATAGATAAAAAATTGAGAATCTGGATTTACTGACAATGCTATGTAGCACTACAATGTTGAATTTTATATTCATACTTTTGTGTTCACAGGAGACTAATTTCTCATTTAAAAATAAAACATATACATTTAGAACAGAATCTATTAAAAAGGTAAAAGCATTCACTGCATACTATATACCAGTACTATTCTTAGGACATAGAACACATATGACTGTATTTATGAGCTCTTATCTCACCTCTCTTGCAGAATGGTTATGATGAAACTCATTTGAGAGGTGAAGTGATTGACAGCCTTCTAAGGTTGAAGGATTACTTGAGACCATAGAAACTGTGACTTACAGAGTCAAATTTAAGTTCAATTCTGACATCAAAGCCATGCTTTTGCTACTATGTCAAACTGCATAATAAATCTACACTTGCGAGACATGGAAAGATGTTTATAATGTTTAGTAATGTATATTACATTAACATTGATAATATGATGTCATTACCTAGTATTGAGTAACTCTAGTTACATGTTTTAAATGCCTAGGGGGAAGACTGGAAAGATAATCACCATATTTTTTTTTTGAGTTGAAGTTTCACTCTTGTTGCCCAGTTTGGAATGTAGTGGTGCAGTATCGGCTCACTGCAGCCTCAACCTTCTGGTTTCAAGCAATTCTCCTGCCTCAGCCTCTTGAGTAGCTGGGATTACAGGCACCTGCCACCACGCCAGGATAATTTTTGTATATTTAGTAGAGATGGGGTTTCACCATGTTGCCCAGGCTAGTCTCAAACTCCTGACCTCTGATCTGCTCACCTTGGCCTCCCAAAGTGCTGGAATTACAAGTGTGAGCCACTGTGCTCTGCCAATCACCAAAATATTAAAAGTGGTTAGCTCTAAGAGGCACTTAGTTTCTCTTTCAACTCATTATTTTTTAACTTTTTTCCCCAATGATCTCATATTAGTTTTCCAGAATGTATAATGTTATTTTTTAAAAACCTCTGAGACAGGAATATTTAGCTGGAATTTTTTTCTGTTGTTATTTTTCCTTTGTCTTGAACTTTTAAAAATAGATTGCTGATTTGAAAGAGTTGTTGAATTAAATCTTGTGCTTGGTTAAAATTGTAATGGGCACAGGAGCTATTATTCCATTCTGTTCAATTTTTATAACATATTTTATATATTTTATGAAGAAATAAGTTCAAGGATCTAAATGAAATGAATTATGAAATGTTTCTGTAAATTTTTGTGTTTTTCTATTAATCACCATATTTTAATTATATACTTTTATACTGAATTACATTTACTATTATTTATATCATAGAATTGGTTACCATATATATAAAATTTTTCTATGTAGAAGCATAATATATAATTTTTAAGTGACTGATTCACAAGAGAAATGACCTAAATTTTTAGAGTTTATAATGTGTAAGTCAACCATCACAAAATGGTATTTTGGAAAGATTATTATTATGAAGAGAATGTATTTTCCTCCATTATCTCTTTGTTTTTATCTTTTTAAAGGTAATCATAGCCTCCTGGTATCGCACATTCATGGGAATAATGAATTTATTTGGACTAGAAGCTAAGACCTGCTGGAATGTCACCAGAATAGAACCTCTTAATGAAGTTCAAAGCTGTGAAGGCATGTTTCTTCCAAAAAGCTGTTCTGCTGTCATTTGTAAACATTCATAAACATTTAATAATATTATTATTCACTTTTTAGAATTATTGTAAACTGTTGTTGATTTAAAAAAATTTAGAACTGACTCACCTCAATGAGTATTTTACATTTTAAAGTAGTTTCCTGAGAAGGAAGGCTGTGTACTTACAAATTTGAGTACAAATTTGGAATTTGAGTATTAACATATCCCATTGTAAGGCAATCTTGACTATAAGTTTTCTCTTTCAGAATGAGAAGATACAGAAAGATGGTTTTTGGGATAGCTTCAATATATAAATTTTGAGGATAGATTAAATAGTCAAATATCTATTTGTAACAGTTAATATATAAATTTATGCATACATATTTAAAAATCAGATATGCAATAATAGATTGATTTAGAAGAATTACTTTTTATATATGCTCAGAGTCCATGAGTAGTACTAATAAAAGTCTTCCTATTTATCTTCTACATTGGTGTCTTTGTCAAAGAAACACTTTTGGAATCATCTAACAGCTTTCCAGGTTACATAGTGGTCACTACCATTTAAGATGTTTGCATTTCAGCACTTTCACAATTCAAATATGGTGCTTTCCCTTGAGACTCTTGTTCAAAGCCACATGTATCTCTTTGAATAACACTAACACTGTTGTTTTTTTCTTTATTTCTTCAAATTCTTAACAACATGATTACTTATTATATTTTATGAATATATTTTTAGACTTGCAACAACATTCAACTTTAGAATATAAACTAAATCTGTATTTTTCTTCTTCTTTTTTTTTTTTTTTTCCTGATTCCCTCAGTAAAAATAGAATTGATGAGGATGTTTGAGGGGCAATTATACTTTTTTGTGTAAAATGTAAAGGACTGGAGAAAATGCCTCATAAAATGAGAGACTTTTTTTAAAAAAAATTTTTATTATGTTCTGGAGTACATGTGCAGATCATGCAGGATTGTGGTTTGCTGCCTCCATCCCTCTGTCACCTACATCTGGCATTTCTCCCCATGTTACCCCTCCCCTAACTCCCCACTGTACGCTCACTGTGCCTTCCTTGCCCCCTCAACAGACCCCAGTGTGTGATACTCCCCTCCCTGTGTCCATGTGTTCTCATTGTTCAACACTCGCCTATGAGTGAGAACATTCGGTGTTTGATTTTCTGTTCTTGTGTCAGTTTGCTGAGAATGATGGTTTCCAGATTCATCCATGTCCCTACAAAGGACATGAACTCATCGTTTCTTAATGGCTGCATAGTATTCCATGGTGTATATGTGCCACATATTTTCCCTGTCCAGTCTATCATCAGTGGGCATTTGGGTTGGTTCCAGGTCTTTGCTATTGTAAACAGTGCTGCAATCAACATTCGTGTGCATGTGTCCTTATAATAGAATGATTTATAATCCTTTGGGTATATACCTAGTAATAGGATTGCTGGGTCAAATGGAATTTCTATTTCTAGGTCCTTGAGGAAGCACCATACTGTCTTCCACAATGGTAGAACTAGTTTACACTCCGACCAACAGTGTAAAAGTGTTCCTATTTCTCCACATCCTCTCCAGCATCTGTTGTCTCCAGATTTTTTAATGATCGCCATTCTAACTGGTGTGAAGTGGTATCTTAATGTGGTTTTGATTTGCATTTGTCTAATGACCAGTGATGATGAGCATTTTTTCATATGTTTGTTTGCCTCATATATGCCTTCTTTTGAAAAGTATCTGTTCATATACTTCTCCCACTTTTGGATGGGTTTGTTTTTTTCTTGTAAATCTGTTTTAGCCCTTTGGATATTAGATTCTGGATATTAGCCCTTTGTCAGATGGGTAGATTGCAAATTTTTTTTCCCCATTCTGTTGGTTGTCAGTTCACTCTAATGATGGTTTCTTTTGCTGTGCAGAAGCTCTGGAGTTTAATTAGGTCCCATTTGTCTATTTTGGCTTTTGTTGTCAATGCTTTTGGTGTTTTAGTCATGAAGTCCTTGCCTATGCCTCTGTCCTGAATGGTTTTGCCTAGGTATTCTTCTAGGGTTTTTAATGGTGTTAGGTCTTGTGTTTAAGTCTTTGATCCATCTGGAGTTAATTTTAGTGTAAGGTGTCAGGAAGGGGTCCAGTTTCTGCTTTCTGCACACTGCTAATCAGTTTTCTCAACACCATTTACTAAACAGGGAATCGTTTCCCCATTGCTTGTTTTTGTCAGGTTTGTCAAAGATCAGATGGTTGTAGATGTGTGGCATTGCCTCCAAGGCCTCTATTCTGTTCCATTGGTCTATATCTCTGTTTTGGTACCAGTACCATGCTGTTTTGATTATAGGTCGTGATGTCTCTGGCATTGCGCTTAGGATTGTCTTGGCTATGCCGGCTCTTTTTTGGTTCCATATGAAGTTTAAGGGTTTTTTTTCCAGTTCTGTGAAGAAGGTCATTGGCAGCTTGATAGGGATATCATTGAATCGGTAAATTACTTTGGGCAGTATGGCCATTTTCAAGATATTGATTCTTCCTAACCATGAGATGGAATGTTTCTCCATTTGTTTGTGTCCTCTTTTATTTCCTTGAGCAGGGGTTTGTAGTTCTCCTTGAAAAGGTCCTTTACATCCTTTGTTAGTTATATCCCTAGGTATTTTATTCTGTTTGAAGCAATTGTGAATGGGAGTTTGCCCATGATTTGGCCGATGAGAGAATTTGTAATGATTCAGTCAGCTAGAAGATGTGACCCTGTCTGAGTGGTGAAAGTGATCACCTAAATATGGTATTAATTACATTCCCAATAGGTGATAGGTTAGTTTTGCCGACATTAGGAGTAAGAGAGGAGAAGTATTTTAAGAATAGGGAATAGCATATTCAAATATCCTGAAGCAGGAGGGAGCTGAAAGAAGGCTAGAATTCCTGGAAGCAACGAAGAGGAAAAACGATGTGAAACGGTTTTGGAAATCAAAGCAAAGGTCAGATCACGAAGGGCGTGTACTGGTGAAGGAGTTTTACTTTATCCATTGAAGAATTTTAACAGATTTGGATTTAAAAAAATATGTAGTCAATGGTATGGAAAGAATATTAGTAAAGGGACAAAAGCCGGTTCAGGGAGGCCGGGCAGGAGACTGTTGTGCTCTGAGCAAGTGATTGCAGGAAGGATAACATGGAAGTGCCTGGGTTTGAGAGAGATTTTGGAAGTAGAGTGGACAAGCTTCGGTAATTGTTTGGTAAGGTGAGTGAAGAATCATGTGAAACACAGCTTGGTTTCTAGCTTAAGTAACTGAGCTCCTTTGAATGGTAGGACACATTTGAACAGCAGCAGGTTTGCATTGTTGTGTTTCACTGTGTATGCATTACTTAGAGGTACCTAAGAGACCTCAGAGTGGGGATGTCAAGTGGCTGTCTGGGTATGTAAGAATAAGGAAAAAGCTCTGGACTAAATGTAGACCTGGAGTCATCTGTATATAGATCATTGGAGCCATGGGAGTGGAAGAATTTCTTTATGGAGAATGTAAGGATGGAGAAATGAAGAGGGCATATGGTGAAGTCTAAGGTGGTCCAATATTAGAGAGGTACATAAAACGAGAGAAATTACTGGAACTGACTGGAAGGAGTGATCAGAGAGGCAGAAAGAATCAGAAGGCCAGCCTTCAGACCTTGGCTCCAGCCAGTTAAAGTGAAATAACCTTTGACAAGTTGAATATTCTATGTTCTGTTTTCTCAACCATAAGGAAAGTATTTTTATATCGGCTAATATCATAAATTGTTCTGAGAATTCTGTGGGATGATTGTAAAGTACATAGAGACTAAAGCTGTACCCTGAAGTCAAAACCATACCTTAACTCTTCCTAGAGCCTAGCAAAAGATGAAAATAATGCAATGAATTTTCTTTTGTATTCATTAAGTGGTTCTACAGAGAGTTCCAGACACTGAACTACAGTAGCATCACCTAAACAAATGTGAAGCCCCAACAAATCATTATAGTATAATAGTAACTCATTAGAGGAAAGTACAAACACAATTATAAAAATAAGTGTAACTATATAATACCTCATTAAGGGTGAGCTTACATGTGTGCGTGTATGTATATATATGTGTGTTTATACAGATATGTGTGTATGTGTATATATACGTGTGTAAAAACTGTGTATCACATGTGGCAGGCACTTACATCTGCTGGCCTGTCTATCTTGATAACAGTACTGCAATTTTATTTGAAGAAGCAGTGAGACCGATCTCAGGTGATAGGTTGAAATTAATTTCAACAGTCATGTGTTTTGCGCGCACACACACACACACATATACACATATATATACACATACACACATATATATATGTGTCTGTATAAACATACATAGAAACTCTTATAAGGGTAAAGAATTAAACACAGCCGCAATCTGGAAAGCAAATGCTTTCAGCAAATTCATGAGCTCTTGATTGCAAAGCACTGAGATAATTATGCCCAATTGCTTTACAGTCCTGTATTCATTAAACACTGAATTATCTGTATCTTTTCAAAGGATTGGGAGAGCCTGCTTGCTTTTATGTTGGTGTAATCTTTATTTTAAATGGACTAATGATGGGATTGTTCTTCATGTATGGAGCATACCTGAGGTAAGGCTACTACTGAATTAAGAGACCTTTCATTGGGCTTACACAGACTGGCTGATATTTGTTGATTAAATAAAAAGGAAAATTAATGAGATTAGACTCATATCAGGAAAGTTTGTGGATTTATTTGATTTTTCAGAAGCTTAATATTCAGAAACGGGAGCTATCACTAAAATTCTATCTTAAAGGCATCCCTTTTATCCTGTAAGTATTTTTTAAAACTAATTAAGATTTCCTAACAAAGGCTTTAATGGGATACCTCCTAGTTTCATGTGTAAAATTAATAAAACATTGGAGGAGATCTTTGGTTAGCAGTAGTAGCAGCTTATTTCTAATTGTATATTCTAAGGGTGAAATTAAGCAGTGGAAAAAACTGTGTATCACATGTGGCAGGCACTTACACCTGCTAGCCTGTCTATCTTGATAGTACTACCACAATTTTGTTTGAAGAAGCAGTGCGACCAGTCTCAGGTGATAAGTTGAAATTTATTTCAATGGTCATGTGTTTTGTTCCTGCACTTCATTGCTCCCTGAGATAGCCATGTCAGCTAGCTTTTGCTAATGAAAATGAAGGTGAAGTCAGTTTTAGTTACACCTGGGAAAGTATCTGCGTTTCTCACAAAAGGACAGATTTAGCTGCCCCTTCTCTGTTTCTTCCTGCTTTTATTACGCTAGGATGTCATGCCCGCAGCTGCAGCAGTCATCTTGTGACTGTAAGGGAAAGGCCATAAAAATAGCAGATATACCTGGCCTAGTCCTTCTGCTGCTGAACCAATGCCAACTGATACTTACCTTTCATTTTCTTGTTGAGTGATATAATAAACAACATCCATAATGTGTAAGCCACTCTTATTAGGTTTTCTGTTTCTTTCAATGGAACATAGTCCTAACTAAATCATCAGGTTTCTTTACAATGTTATTCTTGTCCTACAAAACATTTAAAATTTATAATTAAAAGTAATAACTTTACTCTTTCAACAAATGTTTATTGAGTTTTCATGGGGCTTATAACAATAGAGATTAGTAAATATGCACACTGTTTTGGGAAGTTTTCAACATAAAAAAGACTAGCATAGAATCAATGCAAACTAGTGACATATTCAGTGTTGTACCAGGGATACTATACAGCACAGTACATGAAAAGAAATGTAGTAATGAGTATAAGGATTGGAAAACTTGAAAAAAAAGAAACAACTGTTCTTAAAAGTAGATTACATTGTTTATCTAGAAAATGTTTAAAGTTTATGGATACAGTATTTATAATAAGAAAATTTACATGTTACTAGATGCAAACATTAATATTAAAATTCAGAATTATAAATTGCATATACTAGCATCAAAGAAAAAATGAAATTTTAAAAGGAAGCTATTTAGAATAGCATTAAAAGCATCACGTTCATAAGAATAAATCCAACAAAAGATACATATGACAGCTATGGGAAAATGATTAAAACATTACTGAGGTATGTCTAGGAAAATCTAAGTGGAGAGATAAATCTTCAATTCATTGATTGAAGACTTTATATTAAAAAGATTTATAGATTCAGTGCTTTACCAGTCAGAATTCCAACATATTTTTGTTGACTTTGATGAGCTGATATAAAAGTTATTCAGAAATGCAAAGGGCCAAATACAGTCAAGATATTCTCGAAAAATGAGAATTTATGCTATCAATGGTTGCTATATGATAAAGCTAAGGTAAAAATATGCCATGATATTGGCACAGGAATAGACAAATAGATAATTGAGCCCAGAAGCAGAGCTCAGAAGCAGAAATGTATGTTTAAAGGCATTTGATATATGGAAAAGTGGGTATTGCAGATTGGTGGGCAAGGACAGGCATCTTAATAAAGTGCTGGAATAATTGGGAGATCACATGGAACAAAGAAATTGGAGCTATATAAACAGTAACTCCAACTTGGATTAAACGCTCTCTAATATGAAAGACAAATTTATAAAATGTTTATCATGTAATAAAAATATCAGTCACTTGGAATAAGAAATGGTTTCTTAAACAAGATGTAAAAATCCAGCTATGAGGAAAACTGATAAATTTGATGAAAAGAACTTCAATTCCTCAAAAGAACTGTAGGAGAAAATACCACAAAGTCAGTGAAGATATTTACAAAGTAAATACCACCTACTATCCAGAAATTCCATTCATTAATTTGACAAATATTTATTGAAAGCCTGTTGTGACCTGGAACACTGTTCTAGGTGCTTGGAATACAGAACTGAAATCTCTGTCCTCATGAAGTTTATATTAGAGTAGGAAGATAAAGACAAAGAAGAAAGATAAGCTGATAGAAAAATGGACAAAATGTTTATGAACTGTTACTTCTCAGAAGAACACCAAATGGTCAATAAAACATATGCAAAGTTGACCACCATCATTAGTCATAAAGAAAATACAAATTCAAACCACAGTGAAATACCAACTCACATCTAATAGATTGATAAAGGAACTTTTATCCACCACAGGTAGACATATAAATTGGTACAACTATTTTGATAAACAGTGTACATTATCTGGTAAAGTTGAAGTTATAGATAACTTGTAACTCAGTAATTCTAATTTAAAGTATATATTCCCAAAAATGTCTTGCACACATGTACTAGGAAGTACATGCATTAATATAGTAGCATTATTTGCAACAGCTTCAAACTGGAAACAACCTACATATCCGTTAACAAAGAAATAAATACATTTTGATTTATTAACTTGGTGGAACAGTATACAATAAAGAGAATGAATGAACTATACAGCTACGTACAACATGGTTGAATCTTACAAATACAATTTTGAATGAGTGAATCCAGGTACAAAATTAAAAAAAAACACTGCATATTTCCATTTGTATTTTGTTTAAAAACAGATTAATTTAAATCATATTTTGATATATATATAGAAATGGTTATGTTAATCTCAAAAAACAGGTCAGTAACTGATTCTTGGAGGCTGGCAAGTGGGGACTCAGAGTACAATCATTTCTCTATTTCAATGCACTTTTATGTATGTCATATGGAAATATGTAAGCTCATTAAAGTATTTTGAGGAAAATAATTGCTTTGAGATTGGGCAGGTTTAAAGTGTTTTAAAAAGTTCCATTTTTAAAAAATAGTTTGTATTTCTTACCTTTTTTATTTTTTAATATGGAAAATGTTATACCACAATGACTAAAACATTTTAAAATCAGTATTTTTCATTGGGAGGGCTACCTAAGAGGTGCTAGTCTCTCTAAATTGGTTATATAGTCGTGGAATATAAAATGCACTATTAGGCTCTAGTCTTTAAGAAGGATATACAGATTCAACCAATATTGACTATAAAAGTGTCATCAAAACTGTGAGATTGGAATCTGGCATTAAGAGGAACAAAAGAAATAGGAATTTGGGGAAAACTTTTGTATTCGTTACCATAGCTACCCTTCCCACTGGCACTTACTGAGAAGGTAGATGTTCTACTTCTGTTCTTTTGGAGGCTAACCATAAAATGTTAACATACAGACATAATTTGATCAAGTCTAAAATACAGTGATATTTTTCCCTTTCTTCTAATCAGCACAGGGAATCTTAGAATGCTTTTCTTAAAGACATCCTCTTATATCTTACACATTATTACCATCACTTCATACTCCTGTTACCCCTTGCAGCTGCCACGATTATTATTTCTGTTGTCAAATTTTTTTTTTATTTAACCATATGTCTCCTGTTATTCTGTGTACAATTGGTCCTTGCTTCTCACACCTTCTTTCTTTCAATTTCTTCCTCTTTGAAGTTCATCCTCTGGATTTCCTGGTGAAACTTTGGTAAATCATTTTCCATTAGCTTTCATCTGCTGTTTTTTTTTTAAACATATTTCTTCCTTTATTCATTCAGCCAATATTTATTAATCTTCCAAGTGTGGATGCTGGGGATACAGTAATGACCAAGACATATAAAGAACCTGTTCCTGTCCTCACAGTGCTTAGAATGTGCTAGACTAGGGAGGTGGTGTGCGGAGGGAAGATAAAGTCAAGCGTGGAAACACTATACAGATGTGGGTGTGAGCATCTGCATTCCCACACACAGACATGATCACAAAAAGGCAATTTAAGAAATGGCTTTTGGCTGGGCACAGTGGCTCATGCCTGTAATCCCAGAACTTTGTGAGGTCAAGGTGGCCGGATCACTTGGGGTCAGGAGTTCAAGACAAGCCTGGCCAAAATGGTGCAACCTTGTCTCTACTAAAAATAAAAAAAATCAGCTGGGTGTAGTAGCATGTTTCCTATAATCCTAGATACCACAGAGGCTGAGGCAGAAGAATCAGCTTCAACCCTGGAAGCGGAGGTTGCAGTGAGCCGAGATGGTGCCACTACACTCCAGCCTGGGTGGCAGAGTGAGATTCCATCTAAAAGAAAAAAAAAAAAAAGTCAGAATAGTGGCTGGCTAAGAGGGACAGCAATTGACTAGAAAAAGGCATGAGGAAACCTTTTTGAAGTGTTGGTGATGCTCTGTATCTGAATAGGTGTTTGAGTTACACAAGTGTATTTATCAAAGCTCAGCCAATGTTTACTTAGGATTTCTGCCTTTCATTATATGTAACTTTTACCTCATATAAAAACAATGCTGTAAACAAAATATTGAACCCTAGTAAATAATATTCATGCTGAAAAAAAACTCCAAAAAACAAAAAGAAATGGTTTTTATGTTTCATCTGATTTTTGTATTCTGTGTTACTGCTTCTCTGGAACTCAAAGAATATTTGCAGTAGTTTAGACAGTTCTAAGTTACTGTTAAATGAAACTGTTAGAATCTTGTCTTCATCTCTCAGTCCCTTAAATCGAATTTCAAAAGATAAAAATTTGCCTTTTTTCAGAGTATTTTAAGGATGTGATTTAGACTCTAAAGTGCAAGCTTGTTTCTTAAAAATTATTTTATGTTCACACCTTATATATTTTATTTAAAAAGTATTTTAGCTATAATTTATAAAATTGAGGTCATGTGTACACTGTGTACACTTTTTAGAAGTGTACATTCAGTATTTAAATATAAACTACATGGGTATGGTTGATTACTATTATGTTTTAAATATGGAAAGCTGATTTTTAAATTCTGAGATAACTGAAAAACTCACTATATTTTACTTGAATTTTGATTATATACTCTTTTTTTTTCTTTTGCAGTGGGACTCAACTAGGAGGTTTTATTACAGTACTGTGCTTATTTTTCAACCATGGAGAGGTTTGTTTTCTAGAAAGCAATTTTTAAGAAATAGAAGGGGCTGTAGAGGAACAAGAAAATGTTTTCATTAAAACAATATATAATTGTATACTACTTATGACTTCACAGTATTTTAAAGACCCTTGTGTTATAAACTGGTATTTTAATCATGTTGATTGAAATGTTTAGCTAGAATTTCAAACATGAAATCTCTTGCCTTATTTTTAGTAAAATATACATATACATATATTCTGTAGAGAAAGAGAAATACTGTACTTGTTGAGTTGAATCACATCATGTACATTATCTGATTTATTCCTACTAAACTTTTTTGTGGGTTGATGGTAGCCTCACCATACAAGTTATGAAATTTAAATTTAAAGAAAAGTTACTTATTCACTTACATGATGAAGCTGGATTTCCTATTCTGTGTCTGCCTGCTTTTAAATCCTCTCTCTCTCTCTCTCTCTCTCACACACACACACACACACACACATATATTTATAAAATTATGTTTATATTTTATAGAAACATATATAACATAAATATATATTCAACTTTTTTATTGTGGTAAGAATAAGTAACATGAGATCTGCCCTGTTATCAGATTTTTAAGTGTACAAAACAGTATTAACACAATGTTGTACAGCAGATCTCTAGAACTTATTCATTTGCCTAACTAAAACTTTGTACATACTGCACTCCCCTTAGCCCTAATGAAAGAGGCCTCAGGCCTGACAGCAGGCACACGGTTAAGACACTGCCATCTGCTCCCTCACTTCTTTCTGTTATGTCATGCTGCCCATTCAGTAATGCAAAGTGCTGAATTCAAAATAGACATTAACTTATGAATTCAGCCCAATGAAACGTAGTCCACCTAAAAAAGAGCTCGTAGAAGCTTATTTCAAATACAGTGGATTCATTCAACAAAACATTGAGTACATACTATGTCCATGTTCTGTTAGATCCTGAAGATATGGCAATGAAAAAGAGTGAGACTCTACTAGCTCTTGGGAGCAAAATATTTAACATGTTATGACACAGTTTACATAAGGTAGAAATTGTTTGTTTGTTTGCTTGCTTGTTTGTTTGATATGGTGTCTTGCTCTTTCACCCAGGCTGGAGTGCACTGATGCGATCTCAGCTCACTGCAACCTCCACCTCCAGGGTTCAAGCAATTCTCCTGCCTCAGCCTCCTAAGTAGTTGAAATTACAGGCATGTGCCACTACACATGGCTAAATTTTTGTGTTTTTAGTAGAGATGGGGTTTCACCATGTTGGACAGGCTGGTCTTGAACTCCTGACCTCGTGATCCACCCACCTAGGTCTCTCAAAGTGCTGGGGCTTACAGGTGTGAGCTGCCACACCCAGCCAGGGTAGAAGCACTTTTATCCATTGCTGTTGGGTTAATTTTTAAAAATCAGTTAGGTAAATCATAATATTTGGGTTAATTTTTAAAAATCAGATAAATCATAATAATTATACATAAAAGCCTTATATATATTATTTTAAAGCAAACAAATGCATTGTCATTCAACAATGTGTTGACAGAAAGACAAAGCTTTTTCTCTGAGTGTCCCAGACAACTGTTGGATGAGTTGACTTTCTTATAGGTATCATAATTCCTCTTCCAAAATTTGCAATTTTGGTTTCTTGGAAGAGGAGCAATAACTTTTAAGACTCTTACAAAGTAATAAGAGTTTACATTCTTTCTAGAATTTTAGAATTTTTGATGGAAATTTTTTCCATCAAAATTCCCATATGTCTTATGGGAATTTTGTCTAAAAATAAAAATTATTTCTAAGACATATATCTGATCTATCTGTTGCTGGTTTCTGTACATGGTAGTTAATTGCTCTCTACTTAATGGCCTCATGCATTAAGAGAGCTTCAAAACCTGAGAAGCTATGCCAGACACTCGGAAATGGGATCTAGTGATCCTAGTATTAAAATTACTAAAACAAACTCACCCCTGGTTTTTAAATAGGTTTGTTGTAGTAAGCATGATATGAAATGGGCATTTTGTTGATTTCAGGCCACCCGTGTGATGTGGACGCCACCCCTCCGTGAAAGTTTTTCCTATCCGTTCCTTGTACTTCAGATGTATATTTTAACTTTGATTCTCAGGTAACTTTGATTTATAAAACAAAGGCAAATAAGTTATAAGTTAAGTTTCTTAAAATATACTTCAGTCCAGCACTTTGGGAGGCCGAGGTTGGCAGATCACTTGAGGTCCTGAGTTCGAGACCAGCCTGGCCAGCATGGTGAAACCCCGTCTTTACTAAAATACAAAAATTAGCCCTGCGTGGTGGTGTATGCCTGTAATCCCAGCTACTCGGGAGGCTGAGGCAGGAAAATCACTTGAACCCCGGAGGCGGAGGTTGCAGTGAGCCAAGATTGTGTCACTGCACTCCAGTCTGGGTGACATAGTGAGACTCCCTCTCAAAATTACATATATATATGTGTGAGTGTGTGTGTGTGTGTGTGTGTAAATATATATATATACTATATAAAATATATATTATTACATATATACTTCAACTTATGACATTGTAATTAACAAATTTAGACCATTTTAAAGTTATTTTAAAAGTAAATTGTGTATAAAATTAAGAAAATAATTCAAAATTGCTATGTAAAAATTGCTCTCCATTTAAGAGTGTAGACTACAGGTTTTAGATAACTACATTATGTTTTAATAAACCAAAAGGTATGTGTTCATATATGGTTGCCAAGATTCAAAAGTTTTTGAGAAACAATTACGTTTTCAAAGTTGAGGTACTCTGACATTGTTTTCCAACCTGTGGTTTTGATGAATGTGCCATGAAAAAAGTATTCGGTGTGCAAAAGAATTTGGGAAATGTGGAGTTAGATGGATACAGAGTACATATATTTGCATATTTATGAAGCATTTCTGAACAACCAATGTTTCTAACAGGTCAACCAGTTTCATCTCAAACTTTTTTTTTGGACACACTTTTTTTGTAGGGATTTTATTTATAAGCATTTTAGCTATTTAAGAGGTCTGAGAAATGAACAAACAAATCTTTAAGTGGTAGAATAGTATAAATAACCTTATGAGAGAAATAAGTTTAATAGAATACTAATGAGAACTCTCACTGAATGTAATAACGATCACTATCTTCTCCAAACTCCCAGAGGACTCCGTTCTTCACCTACTAGTCCCTGGCAGATTCTGCCTTATATAAAAATCATTTGTGTATCTTCTTTGCTTTTTCAAACAGTAAATTTAATCATCCACTCATACACAAATGTCTGTGTATAAATATACAATTATATGTATGCATGTAGGTATGTATGTATTTATTTAGTGATGAAGTCTTGCTCTGTTGCCCAGGCTGGAGAGCAGTGGCATGATTGGCTCACTGCAACCTCTGCTTCCCAGGTTCAAGTGATTCTCCTGCCTCAGCCTCCCAAGAAGTTGGGATTATAGGCACACGCCACCACCCCCGGCTAATTTTTGTATTTTAATAGAGACAGGGTTTTGCCACATTGGCCAGGTTGGTCTCGAACTCCTGACTTCAAGTGATCCACCCGCCCAAAGTGCTGGGATTACAGGCGTGAGCCACCATGCCCAGCCAATTATATGTATTTGAAAGTACCAGTGGAAACAGGGACCATGCCATATTTATCTCTTTAATCACAGAACACGGCCATGCAAATATTTGTGGCCTCAGATAAAACGAATTGAAGAGAGTGGTAAATAGTGGTGTACTGGAGTGGCACAAACCTTGAGAATGCAGCAGGCTAACTAACTTCTGATTTGTTGCCAGCCTGACAAGTATATTCTGTGGTTGAATTTGGATTTAGGAACCTGCTCCTTATTCAGATTTCTATGTCATTGCTCTGCACTTTGCTTTCTCTCAAAGATTAGGTGAAGGAAGCTGCCTATTCTCCATCACCCCTTTCTAATCATTCCCAGTTTAATTCCTAGGAAGTTGGGTTATTTTTCTTTATTTTTTTGAGGTGATATCAGTCTGGTCAGTAAGAGGTTTTATGGAATAAAATGTCTTAATTAGAGCATTAAGTTTGTGTCATTGAGGACATATGCTGTACTCTATATCTTGGTCAAAAGTAATTTTTTGTTTGAAAAATGTAAGATTACAAAGTACATAATGAGTATTTTGTGATAACATTACTATACAATATGATCATTTAGAATTTTGCTTTTGAAAATTTATATACACTTGTACAAAGATTCATCAAAATCCAAGGCAGCATTTATAAAAGGAACAGTTACAGTTTTATTATTTGTATGAAATGTTTGTGTTTCTTTTTTTATATCTAAAAGTTACTGTAGTTACTCTGTGGTAAAAGGTATTGGTTCCCAATATATCTCAGTAATGCAGAATGGACACTTTAAACTTCCAGGTGCTTCAACCGAATTCTAGAATGATTTTTCTATTTTTTAAGATTCCTTTTCCTTAAATTTTTCGCATAATTATGAACATGTTACTTTGTCAGCACTTATGTTTTTCTTCAATGTTTTGAAATAGATAAGTGGTGGTATATAAAAGTTGTTGCCACACATACAGGAGAAGCATCTTGAGGAGTGCAGGGGCAGTGCTGTGTCCTATTTTCTCACCTTCTTGCTGGAGTATTAAATTTCTAATGCCATGCTTATGTAGAGGAAAATGAGCTTTTGTATTTAAAATATTTAATGGTAAATTACAATGTTATTTTTCAAACTCAAATTTTGATCGCTTCATGCAAGGCCGTTTTATAGTCCAAGCATTTCAAGTTCTTTTTAGTATACTTAAAAAAGTTACTGTATTTTGCTGTATTATAGTAAAGGTAATGGAATAATTTAGATTTTATAATTTTGCAATTAGTCTTTCTTTTCAGTGACAGCCTATTTTTAGGGTGAAACTTACTGGTATTGATTCTCTCTGTTAAGGACCTCAAGCAATGATAGAAGGCCCTTCATTGCACTTTGCCTTTCCAATGTTGCTTTTATGCTTCCCTGGCAATTTGCTCAATTTATACTTTTTACACAGGTAAGATGATGTTTTAAATTATTTTTTGTTTTTATTTTAAGTCCTGGGGTACATGTGCAGGATATGCAGGTTTGTTACATAGGTAAATGTGTGTCATGGTGGTTTTTGCACCTATCAATCCATCACATAGGTATTAAGCCCAGCATCCATTACCTATTTTTCCTAATGCTCTCCCTCCCTCCAACCCCATCCCCTGAGAGGCCACAGTGTGTGATGTTCCCCTCCCTGTATCCATGTGTTCTCACTGTTCAGCTCCCACTTATAAGTGAGAACATGTGGTGTTTGGTTTTCTGTTCCTGTTGCTGAGGATAATGGCCTCCAGCTCCATCCATGTCCCTGCAAAGGACCTGATCTCATTTCTTTCTATGGCTGCATGGTATTTCATGGGGTGTATGTGCATATTTTCTTTATCCAGTCTATCACTGATGGGCATTTGGGTTGAGTCCATGTCTTTGCTATTGTGAATAGTGGTGCAGTGAGTAAATGGGTACATGTAACTTTGTGATAGAATGAATTATATTCCTTTGGGTATATTAATTAAGTTGAATGCAAGATGTACTTTGTTGTTTCCATAGAAATTTTTAAATATAGTTATATTTATGCCATAAAAGATTTTTAAAATAGGGAATAAAGTTTACATAAATGTATGATTTGTATGAAATAATATAATTCTACATTCTTGTAGTGTATTGGTTAGTTTGACAGATTTTAAGGCTTGACATGGGAAAGACATTTTTCTATCATTTTTATTCACAAATGCTCTTTTTGGTGTTTGAAGTAATATCTCAACTGCAGGTTTTCCTTTTGCCCTAAGAATCATTCTGGGTGCCAAGCTACACGACATGCTAAGGGTCAATCCCACTCTTCACAGCATTACCTTCTGCTTCGAATCCAGCTAAATGTTGGCCTGTAGAGCAGAATTTTACCTGGCACCATTTCTGTGAGCTTTGATTGTAAAGCTCATCATTGCTTAAGTGAGCTGAGCCCATATCCTGTTTCCAAAACAACTGCGTAACTAGTACCAAGAAACGGAATTTGGGAAGCAGAGAGTAAATGGAGAATTTTGATGAAATTTCATGATACTAAGATTTTCCATCAGAGCACCTTCCTACATAACAAATACTGATGATATTAATAGTATTCTATATTGAAAGTAAGAAATTCTACCAAGAAGCCTCGTGCTGCCAATAACCCACAAAGAATGAAATGAAATTATAACCCCAGCTTAATTGGTACTGCATGTTTAAAGTTTTCCCTCTGCCTTACTTCATAATTGTTGGCCCTTTCAGGTTATAACACAGAGATTTTTCTATGGTTTTCACTATTTGTATATGCCAACAGAGTAGAATAGATTTTTAATGAGGATTACTTCATTGCAAGCAAGCTTATTAATCCAGTAGTACTGATTAAACTATTTAAGAAGCTCTTTGGGTAAGTTTGATAATGCTGTAGTGATTTTCTAGCCATTCTCTGGATATATACTAGGCTTTTATTTTTCTTTACTAATATATATAGTTTTGTTTGTATGTGTGCATTTCATGCTTACAGAGGGATAATTCGATGTTGTTTTTCTGGAAGTACTTTAAGATTTTATTCTTAATTGTGTTTTTCATAAATTGAGGTTAAAATTAGTTCATTGTGCCACCATACCTGGCAAATTTTTTAATTTTTTGTAGAGATTGGGCCTCACTATCTTGTCCAGGCTGGTCTTGAACTCCTGGGCTCAAGCAGTCCTCCGACCTTGGCCTCCCAAAATGCTGGGATTATAGGCATGAGCCACTATTCCTGGTCCAATTCATTTTTTATGACTTCTATGCTCTCCTGGAATTTTTAATCCTATCAGTTATTTACTTGAACATTTGAAGTATAGTTTAAGTATAGTTTAAAGACATATCTGATGATGCCAAACAAGAGTTTGAGTGATCTCCGAGCTAAGAATAGTTTTTATATATCTAAAGGGTTGTAGAACAAAAATAGAAAAAGAATATACAAGAGACTATATGTGACCAACAAAGCATAACATATTTATTGTCTGGCCTTTTATATAACAAATGTGCTGATTCCTGATCTAAATCTTTTGTGGATCTCTTTCTATTGTGTTAGTGATAGTGTCTTATCTCCATCTATCCTGGGTTATTTTTGATTTGGGGCTGGACATTATACATGAGAAATTGGGGAGGCAAGTGAAAACCTCTCATAAATCTTGAACTACCTTCATGCAATCAGACTGAGATGATCCGTAGTTGGGTTTCAGTCTTTCTGAGGGCTGCTTGATTTCTGGTTCACTATTAGAGTGTGATATTTTGAAGCTCCAAAGTAAAGCATCTTCTCAGTGTACCCTGACTGCTGAATCTGCTGACATGCCTGCTCCGCTTGTTGGTCTCCAAACTGCCTCTCAGCTGGCAGGCATCTGCCTCTGTTGAAATTGGCAGATACCTCTGGAAGAAAAGTGGCCCAAACTGTCATGCTCATCGGTAGAGATTGCTATCTTTTAAATTCCTCATTTACTTTGTTAATAATATGTGTCTTTTATGCCTATGTTTAAAATATTTTTATTTTTATATTTATATTTTTCCTAGCCATTCTAGTTCTTAGTGGGAAGGTTGGTTCAAATTACTTTGCTTACCATTATTAGAACTGTAGCCCTCCTATTTACTTTGTGAATAGTGAAGTGTTAGTTTTCTATACTTTTTTTTCACTTTTGCTTTTTTGTATGATTTCAGATAGCATCATTATTTCCCATGTATATTGTGGGATACATTGAGCCAAGCAAATTTCAGAAGATCATTTATATGAACATGGTAACATTTTTAATATGTATAAGTCAAATATTAAAATAAGTTCTCAGAGTTTATAAAATCTCAGTGATTCTATTTTATAGGATACCTCCTCTTTGGTAATATTTAATACATATGGTATTGGTAATATCCAGAAGGAAAACTGGAAATGTATATTATAGATGTCATAACAGACTATACTTTCAACTAGACCGTAGATCTGTTTTACTCTCTAAAACTTTTTATTTTTATGTTTTATTTGTTATTCTTGTTACTACTTTTAAAACTGCCTTTTCTTTCTCAGACATGAGACTTTTAGCATTTTGCCCGAATATGACACTCTGAAATTTTATATTCTTATAATTTTGTTTTTGGCTTAGGTCCCAAACATAGCTTCCTTAAAAACATAAAAAGTTAGTAAAGCTTCATAAAAAATAGAAGTCCTGAAGTCTAACAAAAATAAGATTAATAAAACTAGTATTTATAACTGTCTTTCTTATTATATTATTTCACTGTTGAAACAATAGAAATCATAGACTTATTTTTCATTGTTCCAAGTGGCAGATAGAGAAAAAGTTAAATTCTACCAGATAGAGTTTATAGTTTTGAATTTTAATAGTTAGAAACTAGCAGTGGCTTGAAATTCTATTATCATTAGGCCAAGAGTCACTAATCTTTATGCAAATAAATTTGCATTAGAAATGGCTATATACCTACAAAGTATGCATTACGCCAATATGTGTAATAACCATAAACTGTATTTTTTTCTTTCTTTTTTTTTCAGATTTCAGTTATCCTTAGTTTCATTTTGATGTTTGGAAATTCGATGTACTTATCTTCTTATTATTCTTCATCTTTGTTAATGACGTGGGTAAGTCTTTAGTTCATAAAGTTGGTTTTTTTTTTTAACCTGCCAAATAGCATGTATTCCTGTCTAAAAGAGGTATAGGAATAAATAGGCCCTTTCCTGATTATCATGCAACATGACAAAGTTCTTCCCAAGCAAAGCTTTTTATCTATCTTATCCTTGAAAAATATTATAAAGGTTTTTTTTTTAAGACAGTGCCCAAGTAAATACTTAAAAATTACAATAAAGTAAGAAGACTTAAACTTTAAACATATCCCATTTTATGATAAAAATGACTTCTTTTCTCCTAAGTCACTTGAGGAGGTTACGTACTCATTGCAGTGACACTACTATTGCCCAAAACATTTTTAGTACTCCTCTGAGTTTCCATCACAGCCTATGGCACATTGTTTAGAATGTCTTCAGTAGTGGCAAATCTTTGCCTTTCAAGAGTGGATTTGATTTTTGAAAATAACCAAAATTTTTTGAATATTTTGTGTGATTGGGCTGGGTAATACAGGTCTTGATCAAGCGATGATATGACAATAAAGTCTTAAGACTGATTATTTTGCATCCATAACTAAATTATTTCTGAAGGCAGTTTAGAAAGTGTAGTTTCAAGCTACTTTAACCAATGACAAGATAATTAGAATAAGGGTATAGTCTCCTCACAGGAACTAGATGTAATTACACTCATTTGGATATGTGTTTAGAAGGGTGTTTTAATAAATCAGTTCTATTACATTGTAGTCACACTTCTGATATCTATAAGCCAGAACCTAGAATATGCTCCTCTACCTCCCGTCTCCACACTGATCAGAAATGATACCAACTACAGTAATGCCAAAATATAGCACTTTTCTGTGTATGGTATGGCGATTTAATCTTTTGGGATTGCCCTTATGTTTTAATATTTTTGCTTTCCATACCCTTTTTCCCTCATAGTAATTAATCCTTCCTCTTTCTCTCCCCAAAAACATCCTCTTTCTTTCCAACATTTTGCCAAACTATTTCAGCATTACAGAGTGGAGGACTCCTAATAGTGTGCTCATCTACTTCTTTTAATGAAAACTTTTTTATTTTGAAATGTGATACAGATAAAAAGAGCATAAAGCAAATGTTTTGTGTGCTGACTTAGTGCTGGCTAATACTGATAAGTACAGTCTTGCCTCAGTGTCTGCAGGGATTGGTTCCAGGACACCCCAAGCTTTGTGGATACTAAAATCTGCAGATGTTCAAGTTTGTTATATAAAATGGTATGTGTGTTTTTTTACATATAACATATGCACATCTTCCTGCATACTTTTTTTTTTCTTTTGGAGATAGAGTTTCACTCTTGTTGCCCAGGCTGGAGTACAATGGGCATCTTGGCTCACTGCAACCTCTGCCTTCTGGGTTCAAGAGATTCTCCTGCCTCGGCCTCCTGAGGAGCTGGTATTACAGGCATGCACCACCACATCTGGCTAAATTTGTGTTTTTAGTAGAGAAGGGGTGTCTCCATGTTGGTCAGGCTGCTCTCAAACTCCCAACCCCAGGTAATCTGCCCACCTTGGCCTCCCAAAGTACTGGGATTATAGGCATGAGCCACCACACTCAGCCTGTTTTAATTTAAAAATGTTTTAATTTAAAAAACATTTTTTAAATTAAAATTCTTGGTATTAAATTGTAGCATAATTTTTAGTATTTAGTTTCCATGCTTTGATTTTCTTCTTCATACTCATTAAATGTAGGTTGGATCTGCTTCACTTATGTTGTAAATGTATCACTTTCTCTTGAATACTTTTTATCTTATTCTTTATTTCTAAAAGGTTCTTCGCTTCACCTTTTGTAGCTCTTAAGGCATTATTAGTATGTGCATTTCCTCACATTCCTTCTAGTTTAATTTTTGTGTCTGAAATTATTTTTGTTTCATTTCAAATTCTTTGAGTTCTGTCAGCTCATTTCTCAGTTTTTCTGATTTTAATTTGCATCACTCTTTCACCTATCTTAGTATTTTTAAACGTCATATTTTAAGTGTCTCATTTTGAAATGTAAGTTTTGTTTAATTATGTAGTCTTTCATGCTTAAGTAATGGTGTTTGCTATAGGATTTTTCAGAGAAGCCCTTTATCAGGTTGAAGAAGTTCCCTTCTGTTCATAATTTGCTGAGTTTTTCAGATATGAATTTTGAAGATGTGATATAATCATGTAGTTTCTCTTTTCTAGTTTGTTAATGTGCTGCATTATATTGGTTGATTTTCAAATGTTATACCATCTTTACATTTCTTGAATAGACCTCACTTTGGTCATGCTTTATTATTATTTATTACTGGATACAGCTTTCTAAAATTTTGTTTATAATTTTTACACCTAAGTTCATGACAATAATTGGTTCCTAGTTTTCTTGTGACATCTTTGTCTTTTTTGGTGTCATAGTAATGCTGGCCTCATGAAATGGGTTACAAAGTGTTCTCTACTTTCCAGTTTTCTGAAGAATTTGTGTAAAATCATTATGATTTCTTCCCTAAATGTTTGGTAGAATATACCAGTGAAACCATCTAAGACTTTCTTTGTGATAGTGTTTTTATTTACAGGTTCCATTTCATTAATAAGATATAAAGCTATTTGGGTTATTTCCTCTTGAGTGAACTTTGGTTGTATCTTTCAAGGAATTTTTTAATTTTATTCATGATGTCAAATTTATTAACAATGGCATAATTTCTTTTCTCTTCTGTATTTGTAATATCTGTAGTGGTCATTCCTCTTTCATTCCTGCTACTAGATGTTTGTGTTCTATTTTTCATTTTCTCTGATCAGCCTGGTTAGAGGTATCAATTTTATTAATTTTCTCAAGGAATCAGCTTTTGTTTTCATTGATTTGTCCTACTGTTTTTTGTTTTCTATTCCATTGATTTCTACTCTATCTTTATTACTTCATTTCTTAGGCTTACTTTGGGTTTTGCTCTCTTTTTTTCCTAGATGTTGTGTTGTGTTTTGTTTTGTTTTGTTTTGTTTTGTATAAAGCAAGATCATTGACTTGAGACCTTGTTTTTTTTAAACACAGGTGTTTAGTGCTATAAACTTCCCTCAAAGTACTACCTTATCAGCATCCCACGTATTTTGATAAAGTGCATTTTAAAATTTATTTCATGTTATTGTGATACATTTTACTTAGATATGTGATATAGAAGTCTCAATAAATTTTTGTTTTTTTTATTTAAACAATAAATTATCTTTTAAAAGTATTTAAAACCTTATATATTTACCTTGTAGTTAGCATTTTTCAGTGCCTTTTACTTGTGTAGAGCCAGTAGAGCCACTACTATATTCCTGCTATCTGAAAGACCTCCTTTAACATTTCTTTTAGTACAAATCACCTGGTCATGAAGTCTTTATTTTGCCTTCGTTTTTGAAAGGTATGTCTCCTTGATGTAGAATTGCAGGTTGGCAGCAATTTTCTTTAAGAATTTAAAAGATGCTGCTTGACTTGTCTTGTTGCTTGCATTTTTTTCTTATGAAATCTGTGGAGATCCCTACCCTTTCATCTGTAAATAATATGTTACTTCTCTAGCTGTTATCAGCTAGAGATAAGATGTTCTCTTTACCACTGATTTTGAGCAATTTGTTTATATAATGTGCCTTACTATAGCTTTTAAAAGATTTCTTGTGTTTAGGATTCATTGAAATTCTTAGATTTTTAGGTTTGCAATTTTCATCTAATTTGGAAAAATTTTGGCCGTTATTTCTTCAAATATTTTTCTGCCTCCCCAGCTCATATTCATTTAGGAACTCTCATTACATGCATTTTGGGCTGCTTGAAATTGTTCTGTGGTTTATGGAGCTTATGTTTAGTTTTGTTCTTTATTTAATTTTGGATAACAATAGCTGTGTCTTCCAGAGTTCACTGGTTGTTTTTCTGCAGTATCTAACCTGTTGTTGATCACATCCAGTGTATTTCTCATTTAAGTCATTGTAATTTTCATATCTAAAAGTTCATTTTGGATCTTTTAAGTATTGTTGTGTCTCTAATTAACATGTTCCCTCTGTTACCACTTCTTCACCATACAGTGATAGTAACTGCCTCAGTGCCTCCACCTGCTAATTCTGTCATCTGTGTCAGTTTCAATTAATTGTTTATTCTCCTATATCAGGGTTGTATTTTCTTGATTCATTGCATGCCTGGCAATGTTTACTTGGATGCCAGGCTTTGTGAATTTTACCATTTTAGCTGCGGGATATTTTCTTATTCTGATAAATATTCTTGAGCATTTCTCTGTGATGCAGTTAAGTTACTTGAACATAGGTGGATCTTTTTGGGCCTTGCTTTCTAGGTTTGTTAACTGGAATTAAAGTAATGGTTAGTTTATGGCTAATATTGCTGCACTCTGAAGCAAACTCTTCTATGTAGACTACCTGACGTGCCCTGTAGCTGCGCTATTTTATATTCCTACCAACAATGCATAAGTGTTCCAATTTTTCTACATCTTTGCCAAGACTTGTGACTTCTGGTTTTGGTTTGCTTTGGTTTATAATGCCCATCCTAACAGGTTTGAGGTGATAGCCGATTGTGGTTTTGGTTTACATTTCCCTGATGATTAATCATGTTGAGCATCATTTCACATACCTGTTGGACATCTGTATTTATTCTTTGGGGAAATGTTTATTCTTTTGCCCATTTTTTAATAGGAATATTTGTTTTTTTTGCTATATTCATCAGAGATACTGGCCTGTAGTTTTCTTGTAGTGTCTTTTTCTGGATTTCGTATCAGAGTAATGCTGGCCTCATAAAATGTGTATAGATGTGTTCTCTTCAGTTTTTTGGAGCAGCTTTGAGAAGCATTGGTGTGAATCCTTATTTAAATATTTCATAGAATTCTCCAGTGAAGCCATCTGGTTCTAGGTTTTCCTTTGCTGAGAAAATTTTTATTACTGATTTAATCTCCTTATTAGTTAGAGGTCTATTGAGACTTTTTTGTGTCTTCATAATTTACTCTTGGTAGGTTGTATGTTTCTAGAAATTTATTTCTTATAAGTTATCTAATTTGTTGGTGTAATTTTCATAGTTGTCTCTATAATCTATTTTGCTTGGTATTTAACATTTTTAGGGTGAGAAAGTAAACGTGTTTCCTGTTATACAAACTTGGACAGAAGCAAAAGTTTCATTCTGATTGATTTTAGTTACTTTGGGTGAAACATTACCATTTTTCAAAGAGTAATACACACACACACACACACACACACACACACACACACACTCACACTCTCTCTCTCTCTCTCTCTCTCTCAGGAAATATTCCCCACTATTCCTTCCAGACCATTCTCTTCACCTTTCTTTTCACCCTGTTCCTGTCTATTCCTTGTAGGTAAGAAATCTCATTAATTTTCTGGTTGACCCATTTAGTTGGGGTTTTTCTTTTTTGAGTACTAATAACTGTTACATGTATATTTTTTATATCTCCTCTTCCTTATATGAAAGATGTCTTTTGCACTTTTTTTAAAAAAGTTAACAACCTCTACGAGGTATCAGCTTATAAAGATTTTCCTCATTCTTTCTGGTAGTTTCCTAGTCTTCTACTGTAGATTTACTGTAATTCAGTCACTCTCCTATGTCTGGACATTTAGGTTGTTTTCTATATTTTGCACTTACAAACAATGTTGCAATGAACAATCTGATCAATTTATATTTTCCTATTGGAAGTTTAGTAATCCTGGCTAACTTCGGGAATTTCTACACCAACTAAATGATACAAAATTCAAATCCAAATCTAAATAATATGCAAGTCTGATAATTCAGTTTCTGATGAGAGCAGTTTTTTTCACCCCAAACTTGGGAATAAACAAATAACCTATCAACTTGTAGAGATGGTAGGTGAAGTATTCCTAGTCATCATGTGTCTTAGTCAGTTTGGGCTGTTATAAAAAAAAGTACCACAGACAGGACGGCTTAAAAAACAGGAATTTATTTCTCACAGTTCTGGATTCTGAGCAGTTCAAAATCAAGTGGCCAGCTGATCTGGTGTCTGGTGAAGGCCGTTTTTGTGGTTTGCAGACAGAAGTCGTTTTGCTGTGTCCTCGCATGGTAGAGAGAGACATCAACTCTCTAGTCTCTTCTAATATGGGCATACTAATCCCATTCATGAGGGTTTCACCCTCATGACTCAGTTACTTCCCAGAGGCCCTCCTTACAAATACTGTCACACTGGGGATTAAAAATTCAGTCTGAATTTGAGGCAGACACTGATACTCAGTCCATACCACTGTAGGTATAGTTTTTGAGAACCGTAGCTTTTTGCATTAGTCTCAATTCCAACTTCGTACCTTGCATAGACTGAGGGCCCCTTCTGCCGCTCTCCCCTTACAATACAAGCCTATAGCTGTAATCTTATTCTACAGGCCTTTATAAAGACTATCAGGGGTGGTTATCTGCTAACTAATTTTTTTTAAATCACCCTTTTCCTAGCATCAGAGAAGTTCCTTCTCTTTGATGTGAGTCACACCTTTTTAAAATATTTTATTTGGCAGTTTGGAGAGGAAGAATTTTCATATTAGTTTAGTTCACTAATGTTGCTGGATAACTCACATACAGACTTGCGTGGATGCTCTTGTCTGTTCACATACCATTTACCTTGGTAGAGGAATTATCCTGCAGAAAATGGACAGGGTATCTACGTGAGGAAATGACTTGATTCAAGAGGCAACTTTTTGACACACAAACCATTTAACTCTCCTCTCAAGGAAATGTGTCATGTCCAAAATTTGAAAAATAAACAGTTAAGGAGGAAAATAGGTGGTGATAGCTGAAATGGAACAGGGTGACTATACAATTTTTGAAATGAACTATTTATATGAAATATAAATGTTAACTATATTGAATTGTTTTATTTTCTCTTATGTGCATTTTAGGCAATAATTCTAAAGAGAAATAAAATTCAAAAACTGGGAGTATCTGAACTCAACTTTTGGGTAAGATTTAATGTTTTTAACATAGTTTCTTCAAATTCTTTTTATTTATATAAACTGAACACAGTTAATATGTTTTAAAATACTAATGATTTATAGTTAATAAATAGCTACTGTCTTAAAAATAGCTACTATCTAAGGTAGGTTAATATCTAAGTAAATAGCCCTTAGCAAAGACTAGAAATCATTTTTAAGAAGTTAGCTCAGGCATTTCACAAGCACTTTCAGGCCACCCTTCCTTTATGTTACATTCTGCTAGATCCATTCAGCCTTGCTTTTTAAAATGTCTGTTTGTCTTGAGTTTCTCTCTTTAGCTTCAATTAATCTTTCCTTCACAATAACACAAGTTTATAGTTTCTTTCCAACTTTCTCCTTTTTTTTCTCTGCATCTATTCATCATCTCTCTCTCTTCCCTTCTGCTTCCAACATTAGACTCTACTTTTGTCCTTTTAACATTTTCCTTACAGTCTTCTGGCTCCTTCTAATTTGAACCCATTCTAATTGTTAGATAGAACAGTGTCCATATACATCAAAGGAATTCTGCCAAGGCTACACTCAAAGGAAAATGTACATCTTCAACTACATTTTCAACAACATTTTCAGTAGTAGACTGGAAAGAACATGAATTGACTAAGTTTTACATTCAAGAATGTCAAAGAAACAAAAGATCTAAGGAGGGAAAAGCTGAGATTCAACCAAATGTCCAGCTTACATTTTTAAAGCCTTCCTAGGTATTATTTTCTGTTTTTAAAATTTTATTTATTATTTTAATATATTTTATTGCACTTTAGGTTCTGGGGTACATGTGCAGAACATGCAGGATTGTTGCATAGGTACATACAAGGCAATATGGTTTGCTGCCTCCATTCCCCCGTCACCTATATCTGGCATTTCTCCCCGTGTTATCCCTCCCCAACCTCCCCACCCCCCCACTGTCCCCCACTTGCTCCCCCCAACAGACCCCAGTGTGTGATGCTGTGTCCATGTGTTCTTATTGTTCAACACAGCCTATGAGTAAGAACATGAGGTGTTTGATTTTCTGGCTCTGTATATCTTTGGCAAAGATAAGTATTTATTACACACAACCTGAACAAGGTACTTTTAGATCTAAGTGATTCACTTTAGAATTTAAGCCAATAGAAGCGATTTCACTGTTTAATGGGAGGCACCAATATTTGGTGGCAAGGTAATTATTGAATTGAGCTCATGCTGCAATTTATAAAGGGGAACTTTGTGTGTGTCATAAGGCATGAGAATCATTACAAGAATGGAAATGGAACCTCCACGATTATCAAAAGCTCGGTATTAAGGCCAGATAAGGATAGTATGAGAAAGAATATTCTTACTCATGAGCATAGATTCAAAATTTTACCTAGATTAAAAAATTCTATACACATAAAAGCATAAAAGATTAGTAACTCAAGAACAGTCATATATATGATAAAGATAATCTGTTTGTGATAAAATTGGCTTTATTCTAGGAATGCAAAGTTGTTTCTGGAATATCCAAAAATGTAAATTATCACATAACAGATTAAAAGAGAAAAATAACTTATGATCATCCCATTAGATGTAGAAAATAAAATTGAGGACATTGAACATCCATTTATAATTAAAACGTTTAACACAATAGAAATAACAGTTTTCTCAACCCAGTAAAATTCTTCAGCAATCATTGGTCTTACTGATAATGAGGTATTTAGAGTGTTCTGTTTAAAATCAAGATAAAGATAAATGTGCTGTTTCACATTTTATTAAAGGTCCAAACTAGCTTAGTAATGCAAGAAAAGTAAGTAGTAGGAAAAGGAAAGAAACAGAAAGAAGCAAAATTTATTATAGTATCAATATTTACCTAGAAAGAATAAATTGACAGACAAATTTTTTTTTAGGAATTAGAAGAATTCTATACCATGGATAGATATAATATTAATATTTAAAACACAATTGCATTTCTATTATTTGGCAACAAACAGAAAACATATTTTAAAATATACCTTGCGTATTAGGAAGAAAAAATGCATAGGATCTGAATAAATCTAAAAAAATACATACAGTATTTGTATGGGGAAATTTATTTTAAAATTTCTAAGATATAAATAAAAAATAAAACACATTTATATGTAAGAAGATTCACGTAATGCAGTTCTCCCAGTTGATGGTCAGATTCAAAGCAATTTCAACAAGATTGTTTTGCAGATCACTTTTCACTAAATGATGGAGTAAGCTACCTATATTTGAAAAACCTGATGTTATACATGAGTATCAGTTCCAGGCCTAGCCATTCTTAATGTTTCTAAGCTGGACGTGTTTCTGACATGTCTTTATATATTTATAATGCTCCAGGCTTTTCTTGATTTTCCTTGTGCTAGCCTTGGAATCAGCCATTTTTCCAAGCAGCCCTGGTTCCTTTTAGTGGAGAATGGTATTTGGAAAGCAAGACCTTAGTGGTATGTGCACTCATTACTCCTTGAGTGTGTCCTTGTTTCTAGATGCTTTTACTGTGTGTGTGTGTGTGTGTGTGTGTGTGTGTGTGTGTGTGTGTGTGTGTGAAATCATGATTTCATAACTACAGTTCCAACCCCAGCCCAATGCTATAGAAGGGCAAACTGATTAGGTAACCCAGGACTCACAGGAAGACACCACAGGCTGCCATCTCCTGAAATTCCATCCAGCGACAGAAGGCACTCAGAAAGTGGGTCCAGGGAAATGCTCTCCATCCTGTGTGTCTGGTATCTGCTATTCCCTCCACGGAGGCTCCCCATGCAGATAGCAGCAGCAGGGATCTAGCAGGTGCCTTGCTAGCACTAGGCAGCCGCGGAAAGAGCCCTCTGCCCTCTGGCTGACACCTCCTCCCCACAATACTGGTGTCTCTCACCCTCTACCTCGTGGCAAGAGGACATGAGAAGTACATTTTTCCTGCATCGGCAGCATGACTGGGGACTGAGTCAGACTACCAGGGCACCAGATGAATCAGGCTGACCAGAATAGCACTAGTACTGCAAAGGCTCTAAAAACTAAATTGTCATTGTAACTATAGTACACAGAAGTAGGCCAGGACTCGCATGCTAAACCCAAAAGCAAAGTGACTGTCGGCTGAAATAGAAATTTAAAATAGGATCCACAGTCTCTAACATAGTATAAAAATGTACTGGACACAATAGAAAAACCACTCATCATAGCAAGAATGGAGAAAAATAACAACTTGAATGAGAAAAGACAACAGATGTCAACACTGAGATAAATAGGGTGTTGGGATTATTTGACAAGGGTTTTAAAGCAGTCATCATAAAAACACTTCAATGAGCAGTTTCAAATGCTCTGGAATCAAATGAAAAGACTATAAAATCTCACCGAAGAGTTGTGTGTATGTGTTTGTGTGTGTGTGTTTAAAGAACAACCAGGTGATTGTTGTTCTGAAAAATACAATAGCTGAAATTGAAAATTCAGTAAATGGACTTGGTAGCAGAGTGAATATGACAGACGAAACAATCAGTGCTCTTGAAGATAGAACAATAGAAATCACACAATCTAAATTGAGAGAAAATCATGGGAAAAAAAGGGACAGGGCCTCCAGGACCTGTGGTGGAATAACAAAAGATCTAATATTTGTATCATGAAAATTTCAGAAGGATTGAAAAAAGAGAGTGGGGCTGAAAAGTATTTTAAGAAGTAATAGGTAAAACCTCCCCAAGTTTGGTGAAAGACACACCTGTAAAGACACCAAGCAATTCCTAAGTAAAACGCACCCAGAGAAATCCATGCCAAGATACATCATAAGTTAACTTTTAAAACTAAAAGAAAAAGATCTCTAAAGCAGGTAGAGATAAATGGCATGTTACCTACAGTGCAAAACGGATTCGAATTGCACCAACTTCTCATCTGAACCTGAGGAGCCCAGAAGGTTGTGGCAGAACGTTTGTCAAGATGAATTACACATCCAGTGAATGTTTCTTTTAGGAATGAAGGGGAAATAGACATTCTCAATCAAGGAAAAATAAGAGAATTTGTTGCTAGCAGGAAACCTTAAAGAATGGTTAATTGAAGTTCTTTCGTCAGGTTTGTCAAAAATCAGATGGTTGTAGATGAGTGGTTTTATTTCTGAGTTCTCCATTCTGTTTCATTGGTTTATGTGCCTGTTTTTGTACCTGTACCATGCTGTTTTGGTTATCATAGCCTTGTAATATAGTTTGAAATCAGGTAGCGTGAAGCCTCCAGCTTTGTTCTTTTTGCTTAGGATTGTCTTGGCTATACAGGCTCTTTTTTGATAGCATGGAATCAACCCAAATGCACATGAATGGTAGACTGGATAAAGAAAATGTGGTACGTATACACCATGGAATACTATGCAGTCATGGAAAGGAATGCGATCATGTCCTTGGCAGGGACATGGATGGAGCTGGAAGCCATTATCTTCAGCAAACTAATGCAGGAACAGAAAACCAAATACTGCATGTTCTTACTTATAAGTGGAAGCTGAACAATGAGTACACGTGAACACAGGGAGGGGAACAACACACACTGAGGCTTGTCAGGGGAGGGTAGGAGAGGGAGAGCATCAGGAAAAACTGCTAATGCATGCTGGGCTTAATACCTATGTAATGGATTGATAGGTGCAGCAAATCACCATGACATATGTTTACCTATGTAACAAACCTGCACATCTTGCACAAGTACCCTGGAACTTAAAAAAAGTTCTGGAAACAAAAAGGAAATGAAAGAGGGAATCCTATAATATAGGGAAGAAATATAAAACAGCAAAACAGATACACAAAGGGTTAGATATAATAGACTATTCTTCTCATGAGTATTTCGTGTCCTTTTTTTGCTTTGTTATTCTTTATTTAGATTTTTAAGTCAAGGATTTGATTCATTTATTTTCACTCTCATTTTTATTGATAAAGGCTTAAGGCCATGAATTTACTTCCTATCCTTGCTTTAAATCTTCCTTAGTTTCCATATGGAAATGGTATTTGCCTGCTGCCGCCATCATTTTATTTTTCACCTATCTAAATCTGTTTTTGTTTGTCTTCCCTGTATAGCATAAGCTGAGTCTGTCTTTGCTTTGTGAGATAATGTGAAAATCTTTATTGTAAGTTTTGTTTATTTTAATGTATTTGCTTTGTTTCTGTATATGATTTTCTTCTATTTTAAACTTTTTGCATTTAGGAAAGTTACTATTATTTCCTCAATTATTGCATATTTGAAACTTTTTTAAAAATATCCTTTAATAACAGATTGGCTAGATATAAAAATCCTTGGTTCTCACTTTAAAAAATTTCTTAAAAATGCATCTACACTGCTGCTTTGATTTGTGTTTCTTTTGACCAGTCTGATGCTAGCCAGATTCTTCTGTCACTTAGAAATTATGTGACTTTTGTGCCTGGAGGTTCTGAGGAATTTTTATTTTTCATAGTTCTACGGAAAGATGTCTTAAGTTAGTTTACCATACCAGATTAATTTTTCCGGTACCCCCTGGATTTTTGCAAATGCAGATTCAGGTCTTCTTTTATTTCTGGGAAAGTTTTCTTGGATTATAATTTAAATGCTAGTTTTGATTCATTGCTGTGGTTTTCTTTTTCAGGCACTCCAGTTGTAAGTATGTGCCATTCTTCCATTCCTACCACTTTCTCTGATCCTTCTCACTTCTTTCTCTGGTATCATTTTCATTCTTCGTCATTGTTTTAGTGCCTTTACTTCCATGCCTTCATTAACTTTATATTTGAAGTTTTTCTCTTTTAATCATCTTGTGATTTCATTTTTATTTTTTGATAATACTTTCCTTTTCTTCCATTCCCTTTCTATGTCTAATAAACCTCTTTTATTTCTTTTTGCGTTTTTTCTTATATTTCTGTTCTTGGGTTTTGAATTTTTTGTTTAAATTGCCTTTTTGATATTTCTGAATGCTTGTTTGAGGATATTTAATTCAACTTAATTCTGCATAATTCTCTTCTGCTTTGTGAGACTTTATTGTTCAGTGGTGTGGATGTCATTAGCTGAAATATTTGACTTTCATGTTTGTTATCTTATAGAAGCTTTGGATGTTTAGATAGGCATTTTTCATCTACTAATTATTTTGTGTTTTCTAGTCCAAGTGCACACCTCTTCTGAAAACAGCATAATGTGGCTTTTTTCATTGAATAACTTTTTTCTTTTTTTGTGCTTGATGACAATAGTGATGGATAGTCTTTTGGTTTGGGTTCTCATTCTTTCCTGCTGGATACTAACTTTTTCCTTCTTGCACTCCTGTCTTTATCCTTTCTTTCCAGAAATGATGCCTTCCTGACATCAGTGCTTTTGACCTTACCCACTCTTGGACGCTGCTCTGTACTCCCATTTACCAATCTCCCAGGGCTCTTTCTTCACACAGGGTGGACTTTTCTCTTTCTTAGGTTATTTTAGTTCCAATTTAGACCCCTGTCTTTCCTTTTCTTCTTTATCCTTTTATGGGTCCCCCTTCGTTTTCTGCAAAGGCTTAGGTCAGGGACTTGAGGTATAATTCTTGTATTCATTGCTTCCTTTTCTGTTCATAGGTTATTTGAAGTTTGTGCTGTTACCTGTTTTCCATATATGTGGTTGTATTATTATACTTGTTGGTTGGTATGTGCAGAGATTTGAATTTAGGCTGCTGTAATTTTCCCCAGGCGACCAAGAAGTATACAGTTGTTCCCTTTTTAAGGCTAGTCAAAAAATGACATCAACAACAAAACCAGGCACCTCATTGTCAGTTCTAGTTCATATTTCTCCTTCTTAAAGGAAAGCCTAAGTTTTCAAATTTCAAATTGTTCTTTCTTGAAGATGGGCCCGTGTAATTATATTTCTATAGGAGTGGCAGAGGAAATTTGGAAATAAACACTCCCTTAACAGAAATAAAAAAGGAGTAACTTTTTAAAACGTGTTTAGATTTAGGATATGTATAAACAGCCACTTGTCTGACACACATGGGATTTTCTCTTTGTTTGAATCCCCCTCCCTCTGTCTCTGTACAGGGGAGCTGTTTTCTTCTTTCCTTCTTTCTTGCCTATTAAACTTTTCACTCTGTAAGACAGAAAAAAAAAAAAAAGATTTCAGATATGTAGAATTCTAGTGTTGTTATATATTTTATACCAGTGTCATCAGTTTCAATTCTTCGTTTTCAAACAAGATTTTCTAAAGGAACTTTTTTTTTTTTTTGAAACAGAGTTTTCACTCTTGTTACCCAGGCTGGAGTGCAATAGAATGATCTTGGCTCACCACAACCTCTGCCTCCCGGGTTCAAGCAATTCTCCTGCCTCAGCCTCCTGAGTAGCTGGGATTACAGGCACGTGCCATCATGCCTGGCTAATTTTGTATTTTTAGTAGAGATGGGTTTCTCCATGTAGGTCAGGCTGGTCTTGAACTCCTGACCTCAGGTGATCTGCCCACCTCAGCCTCCCAAAGTCCTAGGATTATAGGTGTGAGCCACAGCCTCCGGCGCTTTGTAAAGGAACTTTTTTTAAAAAAAAAAAACCTCACCATTTATACCTCACATGATTAAAATTTTTCTGTGTCATTTATAGATATAATTGAATAACTGGGTGGTTTGTATAGTTTTAAATACGGGACTTCTATTTTGTTTTCTAGCTAATTCAAGGTAGTGTTTGGTGGTGTGGAACAATCATTTTGAAATTTCTGACATCTAAAATCTTAGGCGTTTCAGACCACGTAAGTACTTTTTAGTTAAAACATAAACATTCTTATAAATCTGTAGCTGAATGAAAACTTTGAAACCATCTACTCTTATCTCATCCTTTTACAGAGGTTAAGTGCCTTCTTTAAGGTCTCCAGACTAGTTATTGGCAGAGTCAATAACAAAATCTTGCAATTAAGTGATCTTTGCAACCCACTAAAAAGAAAGCATATTAGTGAATGCTGACTTGGCCTTTTAGAAAAAAAGGCAGTCTGTTAAGTAGTTATTTGTTTATATTTCAGTTAAAATAGAAATAATTTGTTGTTTGCATCATAAGTTGTCTATTCATTGCAGATGTTAACATTTGGGAGGCTGTCCTCAGCTTTGAAAATACAGAACTCTTAAAATCTCAATACTGTTTTATTTATAAATATGGACTAAAATTAATGTATGATTTCATGTTTTAAAGCCTTTCTTGTTATATAAAAAGAGAATGTTAAAAATTTCTGGTCATTTCCTTTTCTAGGAAATACATGAAGGACATTTATCTCTCATGTAGTATTTCCATTTGTTAACATCTTAAATAGTAGCCCTTTTCAAGGCCTAAGTCCCTGCTTAACTAACTGGTTTAGGAGATAGAGAACAATGCATTAATGCATTTTTTATTTCTAGCATTTCTGTCTAGAAATGAGCACACATGAGTATATCATACAATAAATGTATGTTGAAATTTACCTCATTTAATGCTATCCAATTAGGGACCCGTTTGATGCTGAAATTATGAACTTTGATTATAGCATTACTTCTCTAAAAGGTCAAATGCTATCTCTATGCAATATAACATGTAATGTATTTATATTAAATAAAATTTCTAAATGTAAGGGTTTATTTGCCATTTATTGCTAGCTTTGCATGATGGTTTATTAGTTTATTTGTTGCTGCTGTTCTCTGGTATGCCTGACACATTTCCCCTTTATCCTTTCCTTTTTATGGTTTTAAACTTTATTATGTATGTCTTATGATAAACTTTATTTAGACCTTCTAAGTTATTTATTTGTTAAGTTTGTTCCTGATTTTGTTTCTTGTCCTACTTCACATTGCCCCCAGCTCTTTATAAATCTTCTTCTTTTTTTTTTTTTTTTTTTTTTTTTTTTTTTTTTTTTTTTTTTCTTTTTTTTTCCTTTTAAAGACGCAGTCTCACTCCATCATTAAGGCTAGAGTGCAGTGGATAATCTCAGCTTGCTGCAACCTTCACCTCCCGGGTTCAAGTGATTCCTGTACCTCAGCCTCCCCAGTAGCTGACATTATAGGCACATGCCACCGTGCCTGCCTAATGTTTGTATTATTAGAGAGATGAGATTTCACCATTTTGGCCAGGCTGGTCTCGAACTCCTGACCTCAAGTGATCCGCCCACCTCAGCCTCCCAAAGTGCTGGGATTACAGACATGAGCCACTGTGCTTCCCCTACAAATCTTAAAAAAACCAAAACACTTCCTTGGTAGTCCTGAGTGACTTTCTTTAAGCGACAGCTATGAGGAAGACGTGAAATTATAGTGGTTTGGTTAAATTACTCTTAGTCACCAGGCCTACTCTAAATTAGGAAAATAAAGTACAAATCTAAATTATCCTTGGCTACTGACATTATAGGCACATGCCACCGTGCCTGCCTAATGTTTGATAGGTAGATGAGTAAAAATGAATAAATGAAAACCACTCATAATCATCAAACTCGTTATAAAGTAATTTCTGTCCCTATAAAATAATTTGAATTAAGATTTTACTTGCCAAATATTTTCCTTTTTCTGGCCTTCTTAGAATGCTGTGGAAAAATAATTGTCTCACCAAGAGCAGGTTGTAAATAATCAGTAGAAAAATAGAAGTTCTGCACTGGGTTTGGTTGTTGGTATCTATTTTTATCCTTGGATATCACAATAGCTAAGTCAAAGATCAAAGTGGTATGTATAATTGTTGTAATTCTTATGAGGATCAGATCTCATATTTAATGGCTTGAATATATGTCTGAAAAACATCAGGAGTATCAAACATTGTAATCAGTCCATGAGGCTTTGTGAAGATGACCATACACAGAAAGCTTACAACTTACGATGTATGTTGAAAGTGGTTAAGTAAAATAGTTTTTCGTGATAAATTGTCTCATTATAAAATCTCCTAACTAACTACATGGCAGTTTCTTCTCAGCAGATATTGATTTTAGCTCACTTTTTACCATCTTCTGTTTACTTATTTCTGACTCCTTTATACTTTTCATTTGTTGTGATATTTCTCTTTATTTTCAGTTATCTTGAGAAGTCAGCACGTTATATATTTGGTTCACTGTAGTTTTTTGTTTTCTTAGGGGGATGTCTAAATACACTGGATTTATCTGCTCTATAAACTTTGTTATTCTTACATCAATAAATTACTGCTATTTCTGTAATTTGTGGAATTTTAATTCATTTTACTTCATTTCCTCCCAGATTCGCCTGAGTGATCTTATAGCAGCCAGAATCTTAAGGTATACAGATTTTGATACCTTAATATACACTTGTGCTCCTGAATTTGACTTCATGGAAAAAGCGGTATGAATGTTTCTCTTTTTTCCTTCTCTACTAATATGATGAGTTTTCGCGCTAGTTTTCTTTTTTAATCTGAAACTCAAAATTTTTACTCAGAAACGGTCAACTTACTTATTTTATATTTTATATGATAACTTTTTTGCTAATCCACCTTCCTCACTTGTTTTTTTGTCTATAAAATGAAAAAAATGATAGCCTCTATCTTATAGAGTTATTGATGATGGTTAAATGAGATAATCTGAGAAGAGTGTTTAACATACCATATGACCCACAATAATTACTATTATTACAAATCAACTACTTTTAATAATCTAGGACACTTGGAAATATGTGACCATACAGGAAAAAGTCTAAATTCTTGTTTCTGTTTTTAAGAAATTCACTTTTATTACAGTTAATATCCCAACTGTTATAACATTTTTAACAAGGTGTTACCAAGAAAGATATGCTATTGATGAGTTTTAATGAATATATAAAAATTCATTTTAAATTATAGAAATGCAAGGTATTATTCTTTTTAAAAAGTTCTTGTTATAAAGTTTTAAAATATAGGCCCAGCCTGGCAGCTTATGCCTGTAATCCCAGCACTTTGGGAGACCAAGGCGGGTGGATCACTTGAGGTCAGGAGTTTGAGACTAGCCTGGCCAACATGGTGAAACTCCATCTCTACTAAAAAACAAAAACTAGCTGGGCATGGTGATGCATGCCTGTAGTTTCAGCTACTCATGAGGCTGAGACAGGAGAATTGCTTGAACCCAGGAGCCAGAGGTTGCAGTGAGTTAAGATGGTGCCACTCCACTCCAGCTTGGGAGACAGAGCAAGACTCTGTCTAAAAAAAAAAAAAAAATTGCCTCTTTGTAGAATCATGGAACGCAAGATCAGGAAGGGCCCTGAGAAACCATGCCATATACTTCTTTCATTTGCAGACAAAGAAAAGCTTAGAAGATTTGCCTAAAGCACACACAAGCCAAGATTAGGACCTGGATTCTAATGGATTCTAGAACTTGCAATCCAGGGCTCTTTCCTCTATTTAAAGCTCAATTTTTTTCATAGAACATAACAAAGTTGCTCCTGGATTGATTATTCCTTGTGTAATAATTATGAATTCTGAATTAGTGGTGAATATAATAATAAAATTTTATTCATCCAACCAGTTATCCATTCATTCAAAAACTATTACTGACCACTAGTTATCTGTGAGACAGTTTGCTATAACATGACAAAGAACAAAATGAAATGGTTTCTTGCTTTTAAGAAATATATGATTTAGTTACATGGTAAATTACTCCTATCACAATAACAGGTCATCAGAATTACGTAGCTTATGTTATTTCTTACTTATTCATAGTTCTAGAAATTAACTTCGGGTAGCTTTCCTTCTTACTAGCTCTAGTTCCACTAATGAAAATAATGGAGCTATATAGTACAGAAAATTATAATGTAGGACCCAGGAATCAGTAAACACACATTTTAAAACTTAGCATTATGTAAACTAAAAAAAAGAAAGGAAAAAATAATAATTGATATAGCAATTCTAGTTTTATTAAAATAATATTTTTTCATTAAATTTTTGAAATACTATTTATATTTTTATAATTTTAATTATTAAGACATGGAAGACAAAAAAACATATTCTGCTGATGACAAAGAAACTTTACCTTTTACTTTTAAGAAATGTTATCATGCCACCTAGTTTGACATAGATGTTTACTAATTTAATGTAAAAGTCATAAGTAACTATTTTGAATGATTTGCTATATTTCAGACTCCGCTGAGATACACAAAGACACTATTGCTTCCAGTTGTTATGGTGATTACATGTTTTATCTTTAAAAAGGTATTTTTAAACAAATTATTTATGTTTGGCATCAATATAAGGACTATAATAATGCAAATTGCTCTGAATTCCATGTTATATTTAGGATGAACTCTCTGTCTAAAAGTTTGCTTTTTATTTAGATCTTTCATTACTGATTTTTTTATAAAAAGCCATGTTAAAAGATATTCTTATTTTTTCTTTCAAAAGATATATATCAGTCACTGACTGTGTATCAAGGACTATGTTAACATTGTAGGTACACCCAGACAAATAAAACATGGCCACTCCTGTCTTGGAACCTACAGTCCTGGATTATTGGGGGCGGGGGCACAAACATGAAGCAAATAATTGCATAAATGTCTAAAGAATTAAAATTTTTATAGGTGGTATGAAAGAAAAGCCCAGTGACAATGTTGGTATCTTTCAAATATAAAGCACAACGACGATCCAACTTGAGTGGGCCTGCACAGAAGAAATTTGTATAGCTGATTAAAAAATACTTTTCTACATGTTTACTGTTTTCAGGAAAGAAGAAAAGAATATATTAATAAAAGAAATCATTTTTAAAATACCACTGGCAGATTTCTTGATCTGGGTAGAGTTTATCTAAAAGAATGGTTAAAGACAGTGGGTTTTTTTTTTTTTTTTAAACCTTGAGCCATCTTTATGTTATTTACAAGTTATCTGGTCTTAAATCAGTATGTATTTATTTTATACTTTTAAGCAGATAACAATAATGTGATTTCCCCACTACCATACCAGTTGTGATCTTGTTGAAAGGAGTTTTTTGTATTTAAAGTCAAATTGCATATCTTCTGTATGTAGTTGTAGTTGTGTCATTTCTCACTCCTTTGTTTACACATAGATGTAAATAATTTAAGAGTGAGAAAGGTATCTCCCTGACATCTCTGTTGTTTCACCCTTGATCCAGTTCCCTGGGAACCATGTGGAAAGAGTCAGGATAAAGGAAACAAGGAGGAATGCGTAAAATGTGAGCAGGTTTACTGCCCCGCATCTCTTCCGCCCTTGCTGACTTAGAATGAAAATTTTTCTCCACTGACCTGTTTCATCAAGGCAAAATGTCAAGTTATTCTTATAAGGCTCCACTTATAAGTGGAGCCAATGCATGAATTAACTCTTCAGTGGAGAGACAGCCAGTGTGGGAGAAAATGACAGCTAGATCCACAACTGCTATATTAAAAAGAACTAAGATCCATGACTTATGAATACATTACTAGTCTCCAAACACATCACAACCTGAACCATGCATGTGCACTAGCAGGGGTGCGTGCATGCACACACACATACACACCCCTACAGCCAGCCAAGTTTCATACATATACATACACGTGTACACACATACACACACACTCTCATCCCTGTAGCTGGCCAAGTTTAATACACACATACTTATATGTGCACACATACACACACACACACACACTCTCATCCCTGCGGCCAGCCAAATTTCATACACACATATATACACATGTACACACACACACACACACACACACACATTCATCCCTGTAGCCGGCCAACTTTCATACACACATACATACATACACACGTACACACACATAACATGTACAGTCATTCCTGTAGCCAGCCAAGTTTTATTCTCTCTTTCTGTGTGTCTGTCTCTCTCTCTCTCTCTCTCTCTCTCTCACATCCCTGCAGCCAGCCAAGTTTTACTCCTTCCTTTCTGCTTTCTTATAAACCCTTCAGTCTTTATTTGTCCTATTGTGGCATATTTTTCACCCCAAGGACACTTGAGATGGTCATTTAGTTTTCAATTATGAGAAGTCACTTCTCAGAAGGAGAAAAGAAAGGCATATGTAGTATGTCCTGTTCCCGAGAGCTCCCTTAAAGATTGGAAAATACTTTCTTTGGCAGAGTGTTTACATTAATGAATCAGAGCATTTTAAATATTGCAGTATTCCTTAGAAAAGTTTCATTGATTTGATTCTATTCGCAGACTGTTCGTGATATTTCATGTGTTTTAACTACAAACACTTATCTAAGGTAATTATATCATCATTGTTTTTAAAACATACTGTATTCAATTATTAAATAACTTACTGTAACATTAATTTTTCAAATGAATATGCGTTAAACTTTAGCATTATGATTAAGAAAAGAGATATGAACCAAATATAAATTTTTTCTTAAAAATATTCTTACAGATTTCTTATATGTATTTGGATTCATTTTGTTTGGAGATATTTATATTTGTGAACTAACTCAAAGTTTAAATTGATAAATTGTATCATTAGAATTTGAAGTCAGTAAGCTGAGGTTTTATTTTTGGAATTCTGTTTTCAAAAATCCAACTCCAACAATGTTATCAAGCTTTTAATTTTTTTCTGATAGGTAAAAAAAAAAGTTTATTTTATTGCACAAATTCTTTGTCAGTGGAGTTTTGCAGTTTTTCATGTGTTTGTTTACTATGTTTCTTTTTGACCTTTAAAAATTGTTCTGTAGTGTTTTGTGGGGGTCTCTCTCTCTCTCTCTCTTTTAAATGTAGATGGAGTCATGCTCTGTCACCCAGGCTGGAGTGCAGTGGCATGATCTCTGCTCACTGTAGCCTGGACCTCCTGGGCTCAAGCAATCATCTCATCTCAGCCTCACTAAGCATCTGGGACTACAGGTGCACATCACCATCTTAGCTAATTTTTGTATGTTCTGTAGAGAGGGGGTTTCACCATGCTGGTTAGGCTTTTCTTTTTCTTCCTTTTTTAACTTTCAGAGAATGTATAATTATTTGTGTTTCTGAATATTTATGAAATATTTTCTAAACTTATTGTTAAAACTATTTATTGTATAACATTTTTGGATGGTTTTAGCAATGCCACTAGAACTAAGGCATAAGCAGATGCCAGCAAAATGTTATATCAGTCACACATAAGTACATTGCTACAGGACTCAAGAAGTAAGTTGTGAAGACAGTTTGCTTCTGAGGGAAATATGATCTCAAGTTACATTTTTTTTAATGTTCAACATTTATTATAGATACAGGGGGCACATATATAGGCTTGTTACATGGATGTGTTGTACCCAGGTAGTGAGCATAGTACCTAATAGTAGTTTTCAAGTTACATTTTATATTTGTAAGTAGAACATTTGAACAGTTTTAGATTTACAGAAAAATTGTGAAGACAGTAGAGAGAATATCCATAAACCCCATATCCTATGCTTGTATTTTTAATAAACAGCTGTGTGTGGTTGTCAGAAGAGCTCATTAAGTTCATAGGTGCATCTGTTGAAATTATTTCCAAAATAAGGAGGATAATAGACCCATTCTATATTGTTTCAGTCGGTCAGACGAAGCACAGGGGAATGTGTCTTGGCATTCTAAAAAGAGTGAATGGAGAACCCTGGAGACTATTCCCATTAGGAGTGCATGAAGGGACTTGGGATATTTAATTGGATAATAGAAGATGGAAGGGTACATGGCAACTGTTTTCATACATTGCAGAGGGTGTAATACAGAAGAGACAAACTCGAGGGGGCCAGTGGATGGAAGATAATTACACAGAATATGGAAGTCTTATGTATTGATTACATACCTGAAAGTGACAGTCCTGTTGTGTATGGGCAGAGGGGTCTGAGTTACATTGCAAAAATAATATTGTCCCTGCTTGTAGTAACACATTCTGAAAAACCAGTGTGTCAAAAAGAGAGGGAATACTCCCCCCTCTTAGATCTGCTCCTCCAGGTGTAAGTAGCTTTGTATATTTGTAAGTAGCTTTGTATGTTTCATTTTAGAAAACACATATAGAAACACAATATATATATATATATATATATATATATATATATATTTAAATAGAATTGTAGTATTCTTCTTATTCTGCAACTTGTTACTTGTATTTAATAGTGTGTCTTGGGCCTCTGCCTTGATCTTCACTATACTTTATGATGGTCTTAGGATTTTATTGTTGACCATCATGAGTGACTGCCACGTGGTTAGCCTGTCCCATATCAATGTAAGTTTAGATTATATGTAACTTTTCTCATACCAACCAAATGTTTTGAGGAATGAACATCCTTGTTCGTGTCTATTGGTATACTCATTCTAAAAGTATTTCTATAGTATAAAAGATTTGAATTTGGACTGCAGATTATGAGGCTTGCATATTTTAGAATTTGATAAATACTGAGCTATTATGATGATGAGAGTGTCCATCATTTCCATGCAACTCCACCAACACCGTTATCAAGCTTTTAATCTTTTCTTATAGGTAAAACAAGTTCATTTTATTGTGTAAATTCTTTGTTAGTGGAGTTTTGCAGCTTTTCATGTGTGTTTACTTTTCTTTTTGACCTTTAAAAATTGTTTTGTGGGATGTGTGTGTGTGTATGTGTGTGTGTGTGTGTGTGTTGAGTCTCGCTGCTGTATATGCAGTGGCACGATCTCAGCTCACTGCAACATCTGCCTCCGGGGTTCAAGCAATTGTCCTGCCCCAGCCTCTGGAGTAGCTGGGATTACAGGCACCAGTCACCACACCCAGGTAATTTGTGTATTTTAGTAGAGACAGTGGTTTGCCGTGTTGTCCAGGCTGATCTGGAACTGTAATAACTGAGTGAGTCACAGAGACAGCGCCGCACTCCAAATTTCAAATCAAGAGTTCTTTTATTGCCGGTGACCAAGAGTCAACTCACACTCAAAATCACTTGGCCCTGAGGAAGGGACTTGATTTTCCTTTATACCTTGAGTTAGGTAGGGGAGGGGGAAACTATATGAAGTGGAATTTTACAGAAGCAGAATGAGCAGGTTAGAGGGATGTGGTTGCAGGCCAGGGTATTTCCAATCAACCACCAAGGGGGGTTCAAAGAGAGTTATTCACAATAGCAGATTTGCTTGCCAAGCGAGATGTAGTTACATTAGTTATATGGTAGGATAAGCACAGAGTCAGTGTGACATAAGCACAGCATCAGTGTGGCCCAGTTATGCACCTGAGGGAGACAAGGCAGGGAGGGAGAAGCAAAAATGGAGTTTGCAGCTACATGGAGTCAGTTAGGCTAGCACAAGTTCGGTTATCACAGAAATGATCTCTGGTAATCTGTCCACTTCGGCCTCCCAAAGTGCCAGGACTGCAGGCATGAGCCACTGCACCTGGGCCATGTGTTATGGTTTTGCTGTTTCCATAGACAGTAACCTTTTGTCTCTTATGTGTATTACATAGTTTCTTCCAAGATGTCAACTTAGAGTTCATTTATGGTCTCTGCTCTATAGAACTTCAAAATTTCTGTACAATCACAGTTACACATTTTTTTTCTGGGTTCATATGTTACTTAGAAACACTTCCCTACATCAAAAACCTTAAAATATTTTTTCATATTTTCTTTCATAATTTTCTTTTTACATATAGGTGATTAATTACTCTTGCATTAATTTTGTGATATAGTGACATAGAGGAGTCTACCTTTTCCCTTCAAATGAGGTATTGTCCCAATACAGTATTGCATAAACCCTTTTTCCAGTCATCTGAAATGTCAGCTTTTATGACTTACCAATTCTCATTGTGCTTGAGTCTGTTTTAGACTGTCTCTTATATGATATGTTGGTTTACAGGAAAGATGTTTTACTTTTTTTTTTTTTTTTTTGTATCATGTTTATATCTAGCCACATTACCAAACTTTCTTTTCCAGTTCTAACAGTTTTTCCATTGATGCTCTGGATTTCCTAGGCAGGTTATCATATAATCTAAAATTACAGTAACTTTCTAATATTTGTACTTCTCTATTTTCTTGTCTTATGTATTAGCTAGAATTTCCAGAACAACTCTGAATTGCAGTGATAATGGGCTTGCCCTTATTTTGTTTCTGACTCTAAAGTGAACAACGCCTTTATTGTCTCACTGTTTCATTTGCTGTTAGTGTATAATAGCCTTTATTTCATTAAGAAAGTTTCCTTTCGGTTTCTATAAACCAGGATAATTTTAAAAATTAAATTAAAAATAGATGTTGAAAGTGTATAATGTGTGAATGGTAATTCGATAAAGCAGTAAAAAAATGAATGTTAAATTTTTTTTAAATAGCTTTAAAGTATTTTGGGGATTATTATAATTTTCTCCTTATTAATAAGTACACTTATTTTTTAAATTATGGTAAGAACACTTAACATGTGATCTACCTTTAACAATTTTTTAACCGTACACTACAGTATTGTGGACTATAGGTACAACATTCTACAGTGGATCTCTCACACTTATTCATCTGCCTTAAGTGAAACTTTAAGCTTGTTGATTAGCAACTCCCCATTTCCCCTCATCCCAGTCCCTAGTAACACTGTTCCACTCTTTGACTCTATGACTTTGTCTATTCTAGATACTTTATATCAGTGGAATTATGCATTATATATCTTGTGGGATTGGCTTATTTCAGTTAGCATAATGCCCTTCAGGTTCATTCATGCTGTCTCGAATTGAAGAATTTCTTTTTTTTTAGGCTGAATGAGAGTGCTAGTGTCTCTTTGAGATTTTGATTTCAACTCTTTTGGACAAATACCCAGAAGTGGGATTATTGGATTTTCTGGTAGTTCTACTTTTAATTTTTTAAAGATTTTTTTGATGAACCTCCATCCTGTATTCCATAGCAGCTGCACCATTTTAATTCCACTTGTGTGCAAGGATTTCAATTTCTCTGCATTCTTGCCAACACCAATTACCTTTTGTTTTTTGGATAATGGCTATCCTGACATGTACATTTGAGTTGTAATCTTTCTGCTGGTAAAAGGTCTTCCTTCAATGTTGATAGCTTCTGACTGATGAGGTGGCTGTGGCAATTTCTTAAAATAAGACAACAATGAGATTTGCCACATTGATTGACTCTTCCTTTCATGAAAAATTTCTCTGTAGCATCTAGTACTGTTTGATAGCATTTTACCCACAGTAGAAACACTTTCAAAATTGGAGTCAGTCCTCTCAAACCCTGCCACGCTTTATCAACCAAGTTTATATCATATTCTGAATCCTTTGTTTTTATTTCAACAGCGTTCACAGCATGTTCACCAGGAGTAGATAACACCTCAAGAAACCACTCTCTTTGCTTTTCCGTAAGAAGTAACTCCTTATCCGTTCAAGTTTTATCATGAGATTGCCCCAATTCAGTCACATCTTCAGGCTCAACTTGTAATTCTAGTTCTCTTGCTGTTTCCACTACATCTGCATTGACTTCCTCTGCTGAAGTCTTGGACCCCTCAGAGTCATCCATGAGGGTTAGAATCATTTTTACGTTATATAAGAAGATATCATTCTAAGAAAATAACAGATAAAGTAGAAAATAAGTTGGAATAAACCGTTTCCCATCTCTTATTGATGTTAGTATTTTGACCTCTCCGTGAGTCACAAATATCCTTAACGGCATCTAGAATGGTGAATCCTTTCCAGAAGGTTTTCAATTTACCCAGATCCATCAGAGGAATCACTATCTATGACAGCTATAGCCTTATGAAATATATTTCTTAAATAATAAGACTTGAAAGTTGAAATGACTCCTTGATTGAGCCTGCTTTCTTGCTACCTTAATCTCCCTGTCCATCTCTATGAGAGCTCTTGGGTGACCAGCCGCATCGTCAATGAGCAATAATATTTTGAAAGGAATCTTTTTTTTCTGAGAAGTAGGTCTCAAGAGTGAGTTTAAAATATTCAGTAAATCATGCTGTGACAGATGTGCTGTCATCCAGGCTTTGTTGTTCCATTTATAGAGTAGAGAGAGATTAGATTTAGCATAATTCTGAAAAAAGGCCTCAGGATTTTCAAAGTGGTAAATGAACATTAGCTTCAAATGTAAGTCACCAGCTGCATTAATCCATAACAAGGTCATTCTTTTTTGGATTTTTGACAGTACCAGCTTTTGGTTTTATTTATTGTATTTATGAAGGTTGTTCTCCATTTTATTAATTTCTGCTTATATTTTTATGTCCTTAGTTTTTCTTTTTGGTCCATTTTTGTTGTTTTTCTGTGTTTAAGGTTCATGTCATTTATTACCAATCATTATTGTGTCCTAGTAAACACATTTAAAGTTACAACTTTTTCTCTGAAGGAATCTCACACTATGTCCCACGATGTGTGTAGCATTACAATTAATGTTGATTTCTGTGTAGTCTCTGATTTGAGTTTTGGTCATTTAATTCAAAATAATTTAGAAGAATGTTTTAAAATGTCTAACTAGTTTCTTCTGTTATATATTTTGCCTTTAAAATTAATTTGCTATTTATTGAGATTGATGTTCAGTTTTAGTAAATGCTCTATGAAGATTTTTTAAATGTTCATTTCTTATTTGTGGGAAGTTCAAAGTTACATGTTGTATCATGTTATTAACAGTGCTATTCTAAATGGTCTAGTACCCCAACTTATATGTTATTTTCTTAAAATGCTATATTCATATACAACATTAAAACTGAATCTTTCAAAATTATCTTATAATTTTAATAGTGTTTGCTTTATATAGACAGTGCTATTGTTCATTGCATGATATTATAGAGTTGCACTTTTGATTATCATAAAAGATATTCTTTGCTTTATTTAATGATTTTTACTGTAAATTTTTCTTTATAGAAAATTAATATTGCCACATCTGCTTTCTTTTTATTGATTTGCCTGATATACCTGTGTCTATGCTTTTTTTAAACATTTTTGTGACATTTTAGTTTAGGTATATTTCTCATTGTTGTGTTTTTTTCTATTCAAATTCCTCTAATACTCTTTTTTTAAATTGGTGAATTTAGCCCATTTTCATATTAATTGTGATAACTGCTGTGTTTGTACTTCTTCCTGCCATCTCATTTTATGTTTTCTTTTCATCATGCTTTTCAAAAATTATTTTCTTGATACTTGCTGAATTGTTAGCTCTATCTCATTTATATATTTCCTGGTGGTTTTGCTAAATTATTAGCAAATATATTCATCTTGATATTAACAATTCATCAGCATCTAAAACCTGTTACCAATAGTAGCTAATAGTTATTATTTTCTATGTGTCTGAGAGTATTTTAAGCTTCTTACCAGTATTAACTCAATAAATCCTCACAACCACCTTGTGAGAAAGAGTCAGTTATTCCAATTATTTACAGATTAAGAAAGCACTAAGAAGGTAAGTGATTTTCCCAAAGGCACACAGCTAGTGAGTAATGGGGGCAGAATTCGTACTCAGGCTCTGGACTTAGAGATCTGCTTGCTTCAGCACTGAGCTATCAGAATATTTTTACTTGTTCCTGCCTACACACCCTATCCTTGCAGGTTACGCTGAAACCGTCTGAAAGATTGTTGTCTTATCGCTTATGTTTTAAGAAGTCTAAACATTTACATTAAAGACACCAGCAATCTTTGGACTTGACTTCAAATTTTACTGATTTATTTTTTCTTGACATGTAGAATTGGCATGCTTTCTGGGTGCTTTCTTACCTGAAAAATGGCTTTATTTTACCCTCATTATTTCATTGATGGATTGGTTAGTAGATATTTGTGGGTTTCATTCAACTTTTTTTTGACATTGCTTCTTTGTGTTCTAGCATTGAGCATTACAGATGAAAATTCCTAGATGGTTTTACTCTCTGGAAATTTATAAGGGGTTATATGCGTGTGTGTGTGTGTAATATTTATTCATGGACATTCTGATCTGCACACCAAAATCTTTCTTCAGCTCAGGGCATTGTTCTCTTATTACTTCTCTTTAGTCCCTCTTTTTTTGAATTTTTGTTATTGCTTTCATCATATTGTCTATTTTCTGTGTTCTCAGAGAATATCATCACTGAATCACTGAGTTGTTTTTTTTGTTTGTTTTTTTGTTTTTTTTTTTTTT